AAATAGTTCACAATGGAAGCTTGACAGGTCAGAGATGTAACTGTTTGAAAGACACAGCTAGTATAAAAAAATACTGAAGTCATATGCTTCAGACAAAAACTAAATATATGTGGCTGCAGTAATGATTAACAGCTGGGCTGGTCATGTCTTCCTTCGTCTTCACTCATTGAATGATGTCTCTTGATGTGTAGTAGTGCGAAATGCATGCAGCCATGTCTCTCGTGTAGAAAAGACAGGATTCGTTAGATTGAACTGGATCATTTTCAGTTTCTTTTATTTTGCATGAATAATTATAGACAACAAACTGTACAGAGCATGACATAGTAGGCATAAACAAATGAACAATGGCTTTTATATTTGTGGTTAAATGCGAGAAAATGCAATGTCATGTTTAGACTGCCTGAGTTGAGAATGTGGAGCTAAAAATACACTAGCATGTGCATAGTTCCCCTCTGTAGCAATACTAGTAAACATGTTTTGTATCAATTCGTGGCAAAAAGATGCTCCTAACATGAGAAGTAGTAAACAAATGACCAAATGTGTGATGATGAAGAGCAGCACCTGTAAATGCCTTTGTGTTCGAGTTCAGTGACATACGTAAGATGAGCATGAAAGTCAGTGTTGGGTAAAGTACACCTAAAAAGTATTTCAAGTAAAGTACAAAGTAAATGAGACGTGATGTACTTCAAGTAAAGTAGTAAGTACACTGGCTGCAATGTACTTGAAGTAAAGTACTATAAATACAATGTACTTTAAGTAAAGTAGTAAGTACACTGGCCAGTACTTGAAGTAAAGTACTATAAATACAATGTACTTTAAGTAAAGTACTACATGCTCAGAGAATGTACTTCAAGTAAAGTACAAGTTACCTAAACCTACTTGAAAAAGTACTTTTAAGTACAATGTACTTAAAGTACTTCCCAACACTGATTAAAGTACACGCAAGCTGGTCAGCTATCATGACTGTAGTAACCGTGAGACAAGAATCATGATTACTTTAATCATGATCTACATATTGCTAGTACGTGAATAAGTGTGGAATAAAAGTGTCATGATAAAAGTGCAGTAGAATGTCGAGATTAGCTGCCCACTCTGCATCCTTCTTAATGCCAACAGTGATACTGCCTTTTGGGTTCCAGATCGTGAGGTACCCCTTAGTTCGCTTCGCAAAATACATCTGAGCTTGGAGTTGGTGGTAGTGGTCATGGCCTTTGTTCACAAGCACGCTGCTGCCATCATAACGTAGGCTGTAGTCCTTGGCGTCCTTCAAGTGGCATAGCAACGACCCCTCACGAAATTTCCATGGGCATTTTACTTCAAGAACAGCCTCGTCTCCAACAAGACCATCTGGTGATGCACCTAACAGGCCCGACTCGTGCAGCCAGAGCCCTGTTGGCGTTGGCGTCAGGCTGGTGGCTTCGCTAAATGCCTTGATAGCATCTGGTTCATGGATGATGCCCCATTGGACAGCTTTTACACCTTCCAGTGAGTATTCGCCAAGTAGGTGACGAAAGAGTGAAGGAGGAAAGCTGTCGTTCTCACACGCCTTGAGGACTTTTCCAAAGTTACTCGCGGTCAGGCGTAGCTTTCTCTCCACTTGCCACAGCGGATTTGTGCGTTGTCCAGCTGTAGACTCTGCCAGCTGCTGGATCTCTTCACGTGACTTTGCGGCTTTCTCAACCAGATAGGCGGTTCGGTCGGCTGCCTGGGTGTATTCATCACTAAATATTAGGTCCTCAATAGTGACATGAATGGGCATGTCTGGCTCTCTGGACAACAGCCATGTGTAGCCAACTGTGGCCCCAAGAGCATCCAGGCAACTCCTAATCCAGTCTTTGTCCTCCTCACTAACGGGCCGATTCAGTGAAGCGGAAGTACATGGACTCGGAATCAGAGTCTCGACTGGTCCAACCTGTCTGTCCTTTGAAGTCGTCTTCATGGTCCATGTGCAAGCTCGATCTGTGCAGGAAATATTTTTATGAGCAAAGAGGAGGAGAGCTGCCATGTGATGGCATCGAAGGGAACCTCGAGGGCAGTTGCAGGTGGCCCTGGCCACAGTCTTGGGGTTCGTCATTTCAACCTGAAGAAAAAGATTTTTTTATAAAATTCCCTAGTTCAGCTCTATGTACCTGTCATTAGAATTTCCTGTTTGCAAAATCTTACTCAGCTTCACGAGCATGCTTCTTTGAAGCTTGACAGCGACATATAGCTATATCCCAATTAATTTTCTAAAATGTATTTATATGTTATTTTCTCAATTCGATAGATGAAAACAATTAAGAGGGGTCTTCTAAGTTGTCTAAAGTTCTTATAACTACAATGTATTTTACATTGAACTATATATTTTCGCGGTTTCAACGTAAATCAATGATTACAAGAGGGGTCTTTTTAATTGCACACAATTAAAAAATCAGCCTTCTACAATGAAATTAACAACACTAAAAAGGGGCCCACTAGTCTACAGTTATTAAAATTACGATGCATTTTACAGGTTGTACTCGCATCGCGGGTTCGATGGAGATCTTCAACAAAAGATCACATCCACAAAATTTGATGTATACAAAAAAAAAAAAAAAAAAGCAAACTAGTGCGAAATTGCGATAGACATGCGATTCTTTAATAACCTGACAACCTTAATAATAATAATAATAAACGACTTACCTCGACGGCGTACGATCTGTTTTTCATGCTGGCCTGCACTACGCCGGTAAAGCACTTAAGATCGTCGTCGTAACTGATTTGCATGACATGGTTGGACTTAACGGCATTTTCACCCCTTTCAACTAAACTCGGTTCTTCACAGAAAAAAACGCACAATGCGGAGGCCTCTACTGCCATAGCGATGCACTTGTTTTTGCCGCAATAGACGCCCGCTGCAACCGTGTCGTCTGCTACCAAAGCAAAGCGAAGTGTAATACTCCCAAAATGGCTTTCATCGTCGGAATACGACACTGAGACGACAATAACATCTTAATAATTAGATATCAAAAAGTTAGGTTGCTTACAAAAAATTATTTACTTACTCGTAAGCAAACATTTAGCCTCATCTGGAGTCTCCATGCATTGGTCCATAGCAACGTCCCTAGCAACGATTTGTTTGGACCCAGACGCCATGTTGTGACGTCATCACTTACGGGTCAATTGTCATTATATCAAAATATTTTACACTTCCCTTTGAATTCTATATATACGGGTTTGAATGTATCACTGTAATGAAGTGGTCATTCACTGCTGTCGCAACACTCTAGCTCCCGCCCCCGGTGTAAGAAGGCTCTTTAGGTGTAGAGACTCCGCTCTCCGCTGCGACCAGATAATGACACCCTGCGCGCTTCACTTCACGGAGCCACCCCTAGATGGCGCCGTAAGTTTCAGGCCGGCAGCGTACCGGGCTACTTGTGCTAGCTGCCTGCTCGGCGTACAGCTTGCTTTCGGTGGCTACGGGTTCGCGTACGATGTGGTATGTAGGTGGGGCCACTATCATCTCTCTCAGCACACTGAAGTTTACATAACCCGAAAAATGGCAGGCGGACAAACAAGAGTAACTCCCTAATACCAGCTGACGCGGGGGTCTACGAGTGAGAAAGAAATATCCCTCTGCTGTAGATAATTTCTAGCCTAGCTTACATTAACGTCGGTAAGCGTTTGTAAAATGAATAAACTCTGAATGCATCGCAGGTAAACGATAACTTGAGTGCGACCGAAAGAAAAAAAAAAGAATGCACAAAAATAAAGACTGTTTAACACAAACCTTGTTAGCGGATAATAAACTGAATTGTTTTAAGCTCCGTTCGCGTGACTTTTCTAAAAAAATATATATATTGGGTTCGCAAATTACTGTTAATTCAACTGGACTAATAAAAAAAAAATTTTTTTTCAACATGCGGGGCAGCTAACGTGATTATTCTTTTACATATTAAGGCAGCCTTTGAGTCCTGCTAAATTGAACTGCTGACCGAACTGGCACGAAGTTACACATTTTGCACGCAGTTTAATGAAAGCAGCTTTCTTTGAAAGGTTTACTTTGTTAGTACACTTACGTTGGCATGTAGCAGATTGCAACAAAAGTTTATAGTCACCACACTCGTCAAGGAAAACAAACCGGTTGTATTAATGGCACTTCTGATATAAGTATAATAATAATACAATCACAAACTTAAAAAAAAATAAAAAAAAAATTGCTGTAAAAAGAGATGCTGTTCAAACATTGCTTAATGTATGACATACTCTATAGTTGCTTTTGGAGTTCTTTTCCACATTACGAGTCGCACAGTCGGGACTCTTCCTTCTTCTCTCGAGACTGCTTCTTTGCATCTCGGTTTTTTCCTTTGAAGTCCTGTTGCATTCTCATGCGATCCGAACCCTTTTGCACGTTCGACTGAAACCAGAGAAGCGTCTGCCTTCCACGGAGGTGTCTGCATTCCACGAGAACGCCAGACAGAATCCGACCCTGAACAGATGGGCAGTCTGTTGTGTCTGCGTCTACCGCATGCAAGACAATCCCATACTAGTCGCCCTCAATTCGGAGAAGAAGAACAACCGAGCATGTGACTGATGCATTCGGCAGACGTCTTTATCCTGATCGTCTCTTTTACTAATATTTTCATGTCATTGTTTTCCCTTTCTAAAATGTTCACGTTTCCCCAGGCTGGAGAGCAGTCGGCGTGTTCATTCAAATGTTTGGCCATTTCCAAGTTCGGATCTTTGGTTTTTTACATTTCTTTTATGCTCTTTTCACCATTGCAAAAAAAAAAAAAATTTGGAAACAATTAGAGGGGGCGGAAGCAATGGGTGACTTGGCCCACGTTTCGGCAGAGGGCCGGCGACCGGATGGCCTGAACGTTTTGGCGCCCTCTAGGGGCAGGCGGAGAAAACATAGGAAAGGAGGGGAGATGATGTGTTCGCCGTTCCGACGGGGCGAGGAGAGGAGTCTCCACACCTAAAGAGCCTTCCTACACCGTGCTCCCGCCTTTGTCCGTGCCCTCCCGACGCAAGGGACTCACGTCTGGCACTCCCTGGCCTGCTGCTGGAGCTTGTGCGAGTGGATCTCCGCCTCCCGCACGTAGGGCACGGCCTTCTCCGTCGCAGGGCTCAGCTTCTCCAGGAACGTCTGCAGTTGGTCCACCATGTCTCGCAGACGGGCAGAGTTCTCACGCAGGCCCTGGGGGCAAAACGGGCCGGGGCGGTCATAATCTGGAGGTGCGTTGCATCGTCAAAGGTGCATTCCATATTCGCCCGCATTATACTTCACGAAACCGACGGGCACACTATTCTGGCAGGGGCAGTAGTGACACTGAATGCACCTCGTCGCTTCGCGGTGATGTTCAGCGCCATTTTGAGACATGCAATGCCATCTGGGATATTAAGAAGGAACTCTGCTTTAAGTTTCCGTTTCATTTTTTTTTTTCTCTTCTGCGAGGGGGCGTTATTTTGCGTGACTTTAAAGTTCCAAGATCGTGAGTGATCGTACAGGCACAGCGTCTTCGCTGCACGCCGACGCCCCTCAGCAACATCACCTGTCTCGTGATTCCGGTGCATATGCAATTAGTTTTCTGGATAAAAGTGGCAGCAGTGAGTCAGAAGATGACTTTCATTGGATCTTAGTTTCAATTGTGGCAGTGGGTCGAACCAGCAGGAATTATCCACAGGTGCCTGTCGGTACGTTTCGTGTTAGCTCGCTGAAGGCATTTCTTGCCTCCGTGAGCTTCTGTGGACACAGTGGGTGTGTTCGAAACGCTTTATTTTTCACCTGCAGGGCGTCAACCTTACGTACAATTGGTTTTATGCTGTCAGCAGGAAAACGAGTGGAGTTTTCTCTGAAAAAGCGGCCCGGTCCTGACCTCGGCATCAGGCTACGGAGTAGCATGGAACGAGTTGGGTGGGGCTTTAAGGAATGGTACGGTCGTCACAAAAAGAGAGGTTTTGCATGGAAACTGTTCAAATTCGCAGGAGTTGTTTCTAGAAAAGTAAGCTACAAAATATATGTTTTAATTTTTTTTACTCCTAATACTTTGCAAGGTACATCAAATTAAAATAACTTCTGCATTGGTTACACAAAATTTGACATTACATTTTTTGTGCTACATAATATCTTAATGACATTTTCGTTTTTGAAAAGAGAATTCCTTTAGCTACATTTTGGTATGCTTTGTACAGAATTATACCTAGTAGGGATATTTGCAGCTAAACAATTTTTCCTTGAGATCACCCCATAACAGCCTCTTTTCCTGTAGTAAGAAAGATTTAAGTTTACTCCACTAGCAAGCATATTATGTAAGATTCTGAGCGCATTTCCCAACACTCCTTGTGAAAGGCCATCGCTTTCAGTAAGGTAGCATGGGTGCTCACCTCATAGGCGTTTTCTGCGTCCGGGTAGTAGTCCTGGCAGGCCCGAAGGAGTTCCCTGGCCTCCTTCTGAAGTGCCTCGGACTGCAACTTGAGCTCCTCGCTTTGGGCAATGATCCCCTGAACCAAGCCACAAAGAATATTCAATTGGAATAATCCGCCAGCACACAGAGCCACCAAAGACGAGGTAACAAAATTCCATGAACTCATTGTAGAGTGACAATAACATACAATTTATCTCAATTGTGTTTCACTTGTCTTACCTATCTTACTAATCCTTTTAACTTGTTTTTGTACATTTTTCTTGTTTTGCCGTTATGTTTAGATATTTGTTACTTTATAATAATAATAATATTCTCTATTTTGGGTGCCCAAAAACAACCAGATCGGTCTTCCCCTTGGTGCACCAACACAAACAGCAAAACCAGCAAACAAACAAAAAATCCTAAACACACATAAAGTTAAGAGACAAATGTAAGATTATCCAAATGGCGACGGTACATTGAACAGCTGCAGATATATCAAGGTGGGGTGGAGCAATGGCGTTATAGAATGACTGAATCCGAGAGAGAGGTGAGGCATTGGGGCGGCGGAGAAAAGCTCACCGGAGAAAAGCTCACCGGAGAAAAGCTCACCGGAGATAAGCTCACCGGAGAAAAGCTCACCGCAAAACCGGCAGATGCGGAGAAAAGCTCACCGCGGCTGTTGAGCGGATGCGGAAAAAAGCTCACCAATTTTTTCTTTAACTTAGCGGATTCTGCATCAAACGTTGTAATTTAACATAATTCGCATAGTACAAAATCATAACATCGTACACCGGTGAAAAAGACAATTTATTGGCAACTGGCAAGGTGCCGTCGGTAGCTCTGTCAAATAAAGATGTTTGTTCTTTGTGAGCTAATATGAATAGCGGTGTGGTGAACCGTTTCAGTTTCAAATATTGTGTAGTGCCTAATAGGTAAGTAGGTGTTTGTTGATGTATCAGTATCGGCTACGCTGTTTTTTTTTGTTTTTTTTTTTTTGTTAAATTCACTAACAAAACTTTAGTTGCGAGAACAGATTCGTCCTGTCGTGTTTGTTGTCTTCACTCCGTCGTCGTCGTTTGAGCGGTTTTTATCATGTATAACGTTTACCAACTCGCCCTATTCGCCACCTTAAAGAAGACTACTTCTTATATAGGTCACGAGTAACAACGGTGCCAGTGTGCAGCTCTGAAGGTCATTGGTGCCTCGCCGTAGAAAGGCACTATCACACAAAGGCAACGTGTAGAAACACCAGCACGAACGGCTAGAAAACGTGCTTCTCCGTGAAAGAAAAAAGTTTTTATATCCTGCTGACTGTTTTGTCCTATTTTCAAAAATTAACAAAAGCTTCAAAGAGAATTTCAAGCACCGCGTTGTTGTCCGCATGCACTTTCGGATCTTTGGCATTTACAGTTTTGATTTTTAGGTTTTAGGCAGACATTATTAAGTTTTCGAACTTTTTTCTGTTTTTCAAGTTCATACAAATTTGAGTTGGGTTTTCGTTGCCTACAGAGTAAGCCACAGAAAACACTCGCCCGCAATTATTAATTTGGGAGCAATATACCTAATAAGCTTAACAAATAATACAAAAAAAGGACATTTTCTTTTTTACAAAGCTGACAAATTTTAATGATAATAAATTGATATATGTTACGCATGATCCAATAGCCTCCATATAAAAAGAAGAAAAAAAATCGGTGAGCTTTTCTTCGCATACGCTCAATGGCCGGTGAGCTTTCTCCGCATCCGCCGGTTTTGCGATGAGCTTTTCTCCGGTGAGCTTATCTCCGGTGAGCTTATCTCCGGTGAGCTTATCTCCGGTGAGCTTTTCTCCGGTGAGCTTTTCTCCGGGATTCGAGGCATTGCACAGTGGGTGAACATAGAAGCAAACAAAATGTCCCGTTAGACGTGAATACAATATATTCTATATTGTACCCTACATAATATCCTCCCTTGGAGAGCCTTAGGGGTATGTTGAATAAATAAATAGATAAGAAGGTTTGAAAGTGCACTACACAACAAGTAACAATGCAGCTAGAAAAAATTGCAAAATACAACACAAAACAAAAATCACATTATATTACTGGTTACATTAAGGGGGACACTACCCAAAAGAGTTAACTTTTGAACCTTTTGCTTATTATGAATTAAATTTACAGTATATACCGGCAGTTGTGAGGCAGAATGCAGTGCAAAGCTTCATCTGCATACATGAATTGTCAAATAAATTATAGTCGTTTTTATCAGAAACACACTGACTTTGTTTGAGAAAACTATCGTTTGAAAAATAACGTAATACCAAACGTTTTTCTTCACTAGATCTGTAGCAGAATGCCTCAGCGTTGACAAACGTGCATGCAAGATGCCATTTGTTTAGGCTTTTACTTTAGAACAGTTATTGCTACAGACGCCAGCACATGCAACGCGTGGAACACCATTCCCTGCATTCTCCTCGATGCTTGGGTAATTTAGCAATAGGTCTATTAAGTAGATAAGTTATCAATAGGCACCATTTTCAAGATCAGTAGACTCCCAGGTAGATAATAAAAGTTTCTCGAAGATTTGCCACTGTGCGACCAGCGTCGGCCATGTTTACGCTCGCACTGCCCTCTATTTGTCGTCAAAGTCAAAAAGCCAAATTGGATGTTTAGTGTTTATACAGCGTAAGGTCGCTCTGCCAGGGGGGGGGCGACACTAGTTTACACTGTAGATGAGCAATTTTGCCAGTACAGTACGACTGCTAGCCTGGGTCTTTAACGTGCATCACGCAGTAGTGATACACGACCACACACCGGTACGATGCTCATCCAGATCGAAACGGGCAGGGGTGGGGCTTGAACCCTGGCTTCTGCAGCGCGAGCTTTCGCTCTACGCGCGTCAAGCTGGGTGTGCACTGTAACCCACTCGGCCATTGAATCCCCCCTCTTAGTCGTCGTTCTCAGCTCTTGCCTGCCTAGTTTCCTTTCCTTCCTGTCTCCCGGAGGGGTGGTCCTGTTGTGCATGTCTAGTTTCCTCCAGCTCCTTAGGGCGGGTCTGTTTTGTGTGCTCAACAGCTTCGCAGGTCATGCACCTTCACACAGTGGAGTAACTTACGATTTCCGTGTTTTTTGTCAAATATGATATAGAAAAAAAAAACATTTGCATACAGCAAGCTGGTTTATTAAGCCCCTCAATTAGGATAGCTGCGACAAATATGTCATTTACATGCCCCAGTTAATAAATATAGTTATATCAAAATTAACCGAGCTTAGAAGTGGACAAGCGGAAGGTTGGGAACCATGGGCGCCGACTACAAGGGACCTTGTTACCATGATCAATGCCAACATGAGAAAGAGAGGTCTGTGGAGGGCAACTGCTCTCGGAGCAACGTGATTTTTAATATGGTGCACTGCACGTTAGCATGGAGCAGAGCCTCTGGCTCAGGATGGCAGATGCACTCACCCTGAACGGGGAGCTGTTAGCCGTGTTCTGCAGGTGGGCCACCTCCCGCACCATGTCCTCGACCCTCTGGGTGTGGTTGGCCAGCTCGTAGAGGCGCCCCTCCAGCTCCTCCGCCATCGTCTGCCGCAGGTCCTCCAGGGTTGCGTCGTTCTGCACCGCCGGCAGCGAGAAGTTCTGCGCACGCTCCAGGCCTGCAACGGCACGCAGTGGGCACCTTCAGCAGAGAGTAGAGAGGCACGGATGTCGAGCACTCGGCGACTTATTACAAGGAGGATTAGCCAGGGCCAAGGCCACTCATCCTTCTATAAAAACAAAAGGAAGAGCTAAAAGGAGGGTAAAAAAAAGTGAAAGCCGTTTACAAATCCCTGTAACGCCGAATTGGAGCGCAGCTCTTGAGGAGGAGGAGTGAAGGGTACTGAGAAAGGGTAGACCCCTCCCCCTTCTCCTCCTCCTCCCCTCATTCTTTAATATGCTCCGGGGGGGGTGTCACGTGACTTCGGGGAGGGGGTCACGTGACCTCGGGGAGGCGTGACCTGGGGGTGACCTCAAGGCCACGTGACCCCAAAGGTGACCCCCACGTGACCTTGGGGTCACGTGACCTGGAGGGGTCACGTGACCTCGGGGGGTCACGTGACCTCAGAGGGGTCACGTGACCTCAGAGGGGTCACGTGACCTTGAGATGACCTTGGAAGGGGTCACGTGACCTTGGGGGTCACGTGACCTTGGGGAGGCGACCACGTGACCTCGGGGGTCACGTGACCTCAGAGGGGTCACGTGACTTGGGGGTCACGTGACCTTCAAAGGGTCACGTGGGGTCATTTTGGGGTCACGTGACCTTGAGATGACCTTGGAAGGGGTCACGTGACCTTGAGGGGTCACGTGACCTTCAGGGGGTCACGTGGGGTCACGTGACCTTGAGATGACCTTGGGAGGGGTCACGTGACCTTGGGGGTCACGTGACCTTGGGATGACCTTGGTTACGCCGACGCCGACGGCGACGGCGACGCCAACGCCGACGGCGACGCCGCTCAAGCCGGGAACGGGCCCCTAAGAGCTGCGCTCTAAAAAATTGACTGCATCTCCACGTGGTGAATGATGTTGATTGGGGTAAAGCTCTGGTGGTGCTTGTCTGCGCAGATGCTGAGCCGCAGCATGCCGAGCATTTCGTTCCTTTTCATCCATGTCAGAAAGAGAATGTGTAGTATGGAACGTGGTTATATACGCATTTGAGCATTTGACCGCAGCGCCTTCTCGTCTATTAACGTTGAGCCAATGCATGCAAAGTTTAACGCAATTATATACGCATTTGACCGCAGCGCCCTTTCCTGTATAGACGTTGAGCGGCTACATGCAACCTTTCATCCATGACACCCCCAGCTCTTAAGCTACTACCAGATCTCAGAGCCCCCTACTCGTGCCGCAGTCGTGGCCGAGTGGTTAAGGCAATGGACTAGAAATCCATTGGGGTCTCCCAGCACAGGTTCGAATCCTGTCCACTGCGCAAACTTTTTTTTTTTTTTTTTTTTTTCATTTTTTTTTTTTTTTTTGCACGAGCATGTGAGCACGTGAGCTCACGAGCACGAGCACCAGCAAGATCGATGTGAGCACGGACACCGGACGGACAAGGCTAGACCCTAAGGAGCTTTGCCCCTAAAAGCCATCACTTCAACAAATCTGCAATGATAATATTAAGGCTAGGTTGCAGCAGCATACGTGACATCACAGTTTACACTGGCCTATTGTCTGTCTGAAATTTTATTGCAATTTTATTTTGCTCTTTAAATACTAGATAGCATTATTAAGGTCACCCTTTCTTCGTGTTGGCGCCGTGGATGTAGCCTCGATGGAGAAGAGCGATCAGTCGCCCATCTGTTCTTGGACTGAGGACTTCTCTCGGTAAATGCTCAACAGAAGAAAAGCAGACCAAAAGCAATATGAAAGCTTTTGCTTGCAGCCTTTGTATATCACCAAAATCCTGCAGGAGCGACAACGGCAGGTGCAGCTTGGTGAAAAAAGAGCAGCGAGGGACTCGGCTGCCAAAAGGAGAGTGCTGGACCCAGTAGTGACACAAAGTCAGTCGCTCTTAGTGGCCGCCCGGCAGTTCAAGTGCCAGTTTACATATATAACCCATTTAGTATGGCGATAACGTCCAAGACAGACTGGTTTTAGACGGACGGGAGCAAAAAAGGGGCTTCTAAATGCTACAACGCCTTAGGTAAATGCCAAAGACTGCTATTGAACAAATATTCTAATAGTTGCAATTAACAATACACTATTCAATATCTGCTTCGAGATGAACTGCGATATTCTCGCTTTTACAGCGGACCTGTTAAGGGCTAGTTTCCCCAGGATCGTGTCCACCAGCAAAGAAATGATGACACCGAACTCTGGACACCTGCTGCCATCTATGAGCGATGGCGGCAACCACACAACTGCTTGCCGCCGTCGCTCGTAGATGGCAGCAACCTTTTTTTCGGAGGAAGAAAAGTGGGAGTGGAACGAGCGGCGATGTGCGCAACAGCGTGAATGGTTTCGCAATTGCTGCGAAGCCGCTATCACCCAAAGTTCCACCGCGTCGAACGGCTCAGATTCCCTTGGAATAGAAGAGCAGATTGCTCGCCTGGAAAGACATCACCGAGAACAGAAGCTACAGCTCCGCTGCTCTTCCTTCTTTACTAAAGTGGAAAGGCTGAACGTTTTTTTTTTTTAGTGCGGAAGCATTAACTGTCCCATGGAGCGAGCCGATGTCATCAGCCGTGCGAAATGGCAGATAAATTCGTGAAGCCACGATTTGAGGCATCCCAGCTTTGAAGCCGCATAAAACGCCACACAAAACGGCCAATAAATGAGGCCGCCGCGCGTCAGTTTCAATTAGCACCAATCCATGGCGCTGCCTGCCCGCATCTCCAGCGCACTAATAAATGGAATCGGCTGGCGCGCTCGGGTGGCGGCACGGCTGCCGGAGCATGCCGGCCGATTCCTGCAGCTGATTCTGTGCCACTGCGGCACGGCCGGTGTCAGCGAGGCGCGGCAACTTCACGAGGACGTGTGCAAGAACGACATTCATACTTTCGCATTCACAACTCATAAGAAGCCTTTTTTGTTGCCAAATTGGAACTTGGAAAAATAATATTTGCATATAGCAAGCCGACTTATAACACCCCTCGATTAGGATAGCTGTGACAATTTTGTCGTTTACATGACATAGTTAATAAACATAGCTATAATAAAATTAACCGAGCTTAGATGCGGACAAGTGGAAGGTTAGGAACAACCTTTATGAGTTGAGCTGGAGTTTTCTTTAAACGCATGGCACACGGTAGTGGAAGACTTCGAGAAACTATTCGATATTCGATTTAAAAATATTCGGTCAAAATCGCCATTCGCTTCGAAATGGCTTCCAACTCAAGATTCACTCTTCGCACAGGGTTACTAAAGAGACAGCCAATTTTTAACTCGGCCAATTGTCTACCACATGCTAAGACGACAAAAATAGCAGGTGCCACATCTTTGCAGTAGATTTGGAGCCATCTTAAATCGCCGGCGCGGTTTTCGAAGCGCGTGTCCGGTTGGCCGACGGAGGCAACCTTAGTGCCATTAGAACCAAAGCAATGGATCGATCCATCGCGGCGGCGGAGAAGTGAACGAAACACCCACCTTCTCCGGCCTGCGCCAGCTCTTCCTCTGCTTCGGCGAAGGGCCTCATGAACTCGGTGGCATTGAGAAGCTCCACGATGCGGGTGGCTTCGTCGAGCAGCGGCTCCACGTTGGCGGTAGAAGTCGAGCCCAGGCCCTCGGAGAAGGCTGTCAGGCTGCTCAGAATGTCTAAAGAGACGGGGCAGAATGGAGCAGCTAGAAGAGCTATGCTTCACACTTTTGGGGGTTTATTTTTCTTAGCTTGGGGCTGTTTTTTCTGGGTTTATTTTTCTTCTTGGATTCAGTGTTTTTCATAGTAAATTTTGGATGTCAGGCAAAAAATCTGCACTTATGGGTGCTTAAGTTAAAAAAATAAGACATGGACGTCGAATTCCTCGCTCCTCAACGAAACAAACGCGTGATGCAAATACTTGTAAAACATCCTAGTACCGATGAGAAGATGAAAGGAGAAAACTGGCATGGCACAGTTCTTGACGAAAGCAGCTGCAATGAGGGTCAGTTCAGGGGGCTGTCCCGGGTCAGTACAGAATAAAGCTGTACATAAGGCTCTCCTTTCTCCAAAGCTTACTGGAATTCTCTCATCCAAGGACAGCTCCAATTAGGGTTTCTTTGGTGTTTCCTCCAATTTTTAGTGCAAAACATTCTTTGGCTAGGAGCTCTGCATTTCGTGAAGCCCAAAAGTAAAACCTGGATCAAAGTGTGGCTGTAAGGCTTGACACTGATTCGTTTTGAGCGGGGGGAAGAGGCCATCGGCAGTAAAAGTGCGTTTGCACTTAGTGAAAATCGCACCCAGACCATTAAGATTTATTAAGTGGGCGTTTTTCCAGCATGTCACAACACGTCGGCGTAAGTAGAGCTGCTATTTGGAAGAAAAGCCCTGCAGGGCGTCCACTCTGCGTCTGGCAGATGTCAACTGGACACCCTGTCACACCTTTTGAAAACCCGGGTCAGCGCCAGGAATCGAGTGCACATGCCACGCATTAAGCCAGCTCACAAAAACTAACGCACAAAAAGAGAGCATAGATGCCACACGTTTAACATGCAACACAATTGCCCAGTTTTTCACAATGTTTCAGTCGTCATCGAAAACATCGAGCCCTACTTACGACACACATTATCTGAAATTTCAGGAAATACGCCGTATCTAAAGTGCGAAAAGCCGCATTTTCAAATCGTAATGGCCGCCCATTGCACCCGCTCTGCACAGGCAACAAAATGGCAATGCCCGCAAGACAATCGGGGGAATACAGTGCCGATACGCCAAGCGTAGCTTACTCAGTGGGTCTAGTGAGGAAGACACAAATCCAACGAGGGAAAGAAGGAAGCGGTTGTCAAGATTAAAAAGACACCTGGCTGACCCTTAAATCTCACCAGCCGCTTTCCTTTCTACCCTCGTCCACGCTGGCTTCCTCGTTCGTCGGCCGTCGTGACACGTCGTCAACTACTTCGACGGAAGCAGCCGAGCTTTAAATTAAAACGCACAAAACGGTACCTCGCATCTCCTGGACCGTCTTCTCCACGTTGAGCTCTTCCCGGTCGGCTTCCAGCCTGGTCTTGTACGCCGTGTGGTTGTTCGCCGTAGCCGAGAGCGCCAGGCTCGAAGCCTGCACGAAAAAGAGCAGAAATCGTCGGTGGTTGCGCGCCCTCCCCAGAGGTACAGCACCCGTTACGCGTGGCGTGATTTACGACGTCTCGGTTTGCCGATTCCTCCATTTCCACCCGATCACGTTGCACGTCTGTCGCGCCGGCGTGATCCCAGCGGTGGCGGAGCAGCGGCATGAGCTGCAGATGCCTGTTCCGCTGCAGCTCGTTTAGCAGCCAGACGGTCGATGGAAACCGAAGCAGACCCGAAATGGGACACTGGGACGGCGGGGACCGTTGTTTCCAATCGCCTTTTTTGCCGGCATTTCTACCACCAACCGTCACAATCGCGACATCCAACAGCATGACAGACTGTCTTCTGCGACTTAATCTGAGGCCACATCACAGCCACTTGCAACACACAGAGAGTGTAGTGCAGTAAACACACCAGTCAAAGGCGTGTTCCAGGCGTTGTGCACCCGAAACGCGTCTCTGACCGGTGAGCTTCGCATCCCATACTGGCAATGCATCAAAAGCGGCTCCGAGTGGCAACTGGCGTTGCAGAAGCCATCATGTCGTGCTGTCGGACGTCGCGATCCTGACAGCTTGTCGAAGAAGGTTGTGGGGATCGTGATCCCTGAACATTCTGTCGCGTCAGCGTTTTGGCGCGCCGTGGCGGCCGCGCTGACGTAGCGAGAGGTGGCACTGCTTATCACTGAGTGGCTTCCTCCTTTCCCCCCTGGGGGCGATTTTCGTAATGAACCCCCGCAGAAAGGAGATCGACGTGTCGCTTCTTGATTAGCCACTTCGCCCCGCCGTTATCTTAAAACCAGCGAACAGCGAGATCTTTCTCTCTCTTCTTCCTGGGATTCGGCGGCGGCGACAACGGGGAACCGCCCGGCGCACCGGTGAGCATTTACCTCGTCCTTTGTATCTTTGTGAACGACTGTTCGGCCGTGGGCGATTTCCACACCAACGGCGTTCACCAGCTGATAGCCGCTGTTTTCTTATTTGTTCCGTTGTTAATAAACAGAGTTTATCACCGTCACCAACGTGACTGGTGTCTGATTGCGCTCAAAGAGCAGCATGCCATGCGAGTACGAACTCGCTTCGTGGTAGAGCGTCTCACCGCGAACGTGGTACTCCCAAAGGCAGTGGCCCAAAGGAGAACCACAAGGTCTGGCAAAAAACTAGGAGCGAACGCATCGCAACTAATGGCCGCCGAAGCTTTTGTGGAGAGTCAAGCCAGAGAGCAGCCTACCGCATCTACCTCCGCTTTTGTGTGGATCGTGGGAGGCGACAACACTTCATGATGTGAGTGGGTGGACGGAGAAGCTTTCCAGGCACCATAGTAATGAAGGCGAGAGAATGACTCACGTCCTTGCGCACTGTCGAGGCCAGTGCTTCCAGATCGCTGACGTTCTGCGCCAGGGGGCTCACGTCCAGGGAGGCGGGCTTTCCGCTGAAGCTCATCAGCTGCTCCTGTCGAGGGAAAGAGCGTCTTATTTTATTTTCTCGTAGTCTCGCAAAGCACGGAGAGTACTCTGTCGAGAAAAAGAGGCGACAAATTCGGTGCACCAACGTTTGCTCTGCACGTGGCATCGCAACGGCAGTTGTTAGACTTTGCACAAAGCGAACGCGCCGTCGGGTAAAGTTCATTGATTGTTTGCGGCATACGGTGAAACACCACTAAAACAAACAGCTGAAGAAAATTTTGTAAACTTGCCCAGCAAAACAGCACTATGTCCACTGCATCCAATTAAGTGAACTCCCACTTTAGCAAACTTTTTTTTTAGGTCCCTCAAAGTTTGTTTGAGTGTTATTTCACCGTATTTGCTCCATGAAGTCCGGCCTCAACATGGTACTTGGGAAGTATGAGCCCATTTCAGATAATATATTCAAAGGGACCATACCATTGTGAGCATAATAAAATTTATATATATCCAAATATAAAGCTGGGAACATTTTCCATTATTTTCCCTGCTCGTTTGCATGTAAGGAATTGTTTATTAGCTCGATCAATGACAGAACTGAAGAATTGGGGCTGTATTTGGGTCGCTTAAAGGGGTACTACAACAAAATTTCGGCGCTCATTTCTTGGTCTATATGTGTTCAAAGGAGCAGCATCACATCGAACATACCAATATCTTGTAAAAAAGGCTCGAAAAGAAATTTTAAGACTAATTAAACGATTAGCAAAGAGCACCTGATGGATGTCGCTAACGCCTCGCTTGTAATGTCCGTCTAGGAACCTTAACAGCTAGTGACGGAGGTTGTCTCGCCTCCGGCCACGACGAGAGAAGGGGGAAAGGAGGAACTCCCCTCTTCCCGAGAATGCCTTTTGTGTGCCGCAGTAGTCATTATTGTCCCCCTACAAGATTATAGAAGATTAACCCGTCGCTCAAAATTCGTACAAAAGCAGCCGCTTCGGTGGCTGGAACGACTAGGCCATCCTCTCGACGTCAGCCTCGCCGTAGCTTTGCTCGTCTTGAGACGACCTACGTCACGATTGCGTTGGATGTCACGTGGTCTCCGCTGGGCCTTCTCCGAGCGCTTGCCAGAGTGGGCCGTTTATAACGAAAAATACAGCCACCAGAATCAATATACAAACGTGCGATTGTCATTTACGGATATTAGGAATCATATTCAACCTATTTTTGAACACAACGGGAATCTTTCAAATATTGTTGAAGTATCCCTTTAAACCCAACAGTACTCCGTTTTTTCCCCCTTGAGAACTAGATCGGCAGCATATGCCGGAGCCATTTCATTCAACAAGCCGACTTCTCGAGCGCCGGCTCGTCTTAGCCATAATAAAAAGTGGTATGTATAAAAACTGAGTACCACCCGAAGCTCTTTTATCTCATCAGCTGCTCCATCAGACGCAGTCGATTACAAAAGAAGGAAATTTGAGCGAGCTGGAAAACACTGCCTTTGTGACCAATAATACACAGAGCATAGGTGTCCACCATGAAATCCGGTGAGATTTGAAGCCTGAAATACCAAGAAAAAAAACTGAGGTACACCTAAGCACTTCTTATGAGTTGTGAGTGCGAAAGCATGTGCATCATTCTTGCTCTACGCGTGTTGGCGCGCCGGCTGGCGCTGACCTGGCGCTGCGTGTCCGGCGAATGGGAGCCTGGTCGACGTGCGCTAGCCAATGGGATCGAAACGGCGTAAAAGGTGCCATGGCTAACCGGCGAATGGGAGCTAGCTTGATTTGGAGAGCATTTAAGAGCCGTTTGCGTGGCTTCAAAGGTGATGACGTCGGCTCGCTTCATGAGACAGTTAATGCTTTCGCATTCAAAACCGAGTATGCACCCATGTCTCAATAAGTGCCCACCCCTTACTACAGAAACATTTCAAATATAAGCCGAGAAAATATGAAGTGTCCATCCCAACAAACTTCTGAGCCCACCGAGCTAACTGAAGTGCTTCACCACACTGGATGCCTCTTCAAGAAGACAGCGCGATGCAGTAGAGCAGGCTTGACGAGAGTGCCATGTCTGCTTTGAAAATTAGGGTTTTGCCAGACCCCTATATATCTCCTATACTGTTCAATCGGATCAAACAAAAACCTGCCCTACCACGTAGCTTTTCTGCTTTCAAACCGAACAAGCACTCATCCCCATATTTTTAAATGATCTCCCGTACAAGAAAACAGTGCCAAATAAATGCCAGGGCAATGATAGACAAAACAGGAGCACTCTGTACTGTTTCTGTCTATTTTTTTCCTTACGTTTATTAGGTGCCGCTTTCTCGTACACGACAGACCTACCAGCCCAAACCACCACTTGCTATCTTTAACTTTGCATGACACTTGCTCGGTATTTTACGGTATGTTACATGAAACTGGTCCAGAGCGCCTACGCAAACTTCCGCACCTGAGTGCACCTAATAACATTGCTCTCAATAACTCAAGAAAAAAGTAAGCTTTGCTCACGGTTCATACGTAGCGCGAGGTAGTTCTTACAAGATTTGATTGTGGAAGAAGGAAACAATGCTCTTGGCCTTTGGAATTTGTATGTCTTAATTGATAAAATAATTTACAGCTAATCTAAATGCCCCCAAGATATATTTTAATTTGCTACATAAAGAAGAAAATAATTGATGCTCCGCAAGGAGCTGCACTTTTAAGGCGTTAGCGTTATAGGGCCAGCCAACCTCAGGAGCTGCCCAAGCACAAAATGTGTAGGTAGGTCAGTTTCTAACCACTAGACGATTCCGAAAAAGAGCGGCGACCGGTGCCAGAGATTGAACCCGCCACCGGCGTGGAAGCCGAGTGCGGTGCTGACCGAGCTACAAGCCCAGCACGCAAAAACGAAAGGAGCAGAAGCAGGTGGTGTAAGGTGGCACGAAGAGCAGAGGGGTGGAAAGAGCGAGAAAGCGTGCTTCACTTCTCTAGGTGACCCAGAAAATTCAGTGCAAAGGCTTTGCATCCGGGGGGTGCTGAAGGGAAGCGCGCTCTGTGTCAGAAAGAGACAATGGTGTGATGCAATTCGTTTCCATAAGAAACCCTGCCCCAGGCACCATCCAAACTATAAGCACCGCTTAACCTTTAAAGCTACAGCATTTAAATGCGATTGGGAGGTTGACCAAACATGCCGCCAATTTTGATGACTACAGTTCTTTGGGGAAATACAAGTACATCCCATAAATTGAAAAAAAAACAAGGGACTCACTTTCAGGTCGTGCGCAGTCTGGTTGACGAGCTGCAGCCGCTGGTTGGCCAGGTAAGTGGAGGAGATGTCACGCATCTCGTCCCCGATGTTGTCGATCATCTGCTCCAGGCTGTCCGTGTCATCCAGCAGGGCGTGCACGCACTCGCCACACTCTGCGTCCGTAAGCAACGCACATCGGTGAATTGTGCTGTGTGCACATTTAGACGGCAAGAAGTGAAGACAGCCCCAATGTACATCTGGTCCCTACTTTCCTGCAAAGCACTTGGGTGAGTCAATCGCTGCAATCCATAAAGAGAGCTCGGTAAATGACAAGGCTGTAAATACAGTCTAAGCTCGTTACAACAAACATTTGGATATAACATACCGATCTATGAAGTTCGGTTGGTTTTCCTTTACATGCCATTGACTCAACTTCATATCTGATACAACATACTCCTCTTACAACAGACCGAAATCTCGGTCAAAATCAAAGTCTGTTATAACCAGCTTAAACTCTATGTTTAGGCTTAAAGAACTGTCTTTGCTGAGACAGTAGGTGCGATGAAACGTCATGCCCAGTCGCGCAGCGCACAATGCTTTTTAAGTCTTAACATATATCCAGCCTCATCATTTGCCAAGCTCGCTCTGTAAATCAGAACGACTGGAATGTAGACTTTTCAGATTTCTTAGAACTGTAGCTGAGAAATTTATCCAGTGCAGTACAACTGCCAACCTGGGGTCTTTAACGTGCACTGCGCAATGGTGACAGACGACCGCACGTCGGTACGATGTTTGTAAAGATAGAAATGGGTAGCGGTGGAGACTGAGCCCGGGATCCCTGGGGTCTGCAGCACGAGCATTCGCTCCTCATGCTACGAGCCGGTATGCAATAACACACTCGGCCATCCATCGCACCACGCATAGTTCAGTCTAAATATTTTAACTGCTTCTTCAATTCTACTGGCTGTAATGCGCAACGGTTCCTTTACCACACGTGATGTGCGCAATAAAACTAAAGCAGACGAGAGTAGAAAGTTGGGCTTGTTGGTGATTCCTAAAGATTAAAAAGCGCGACAGGACAACGGACACAGAAGGAGACACAGACACAGTGCTTATCGCTGTGTCTGTGTCTCCTTCTGTGTCCGTTGTCCTCTCATGCTTTTTAATCATTAAAATAAAGCAGTTGAATTATATGTGCCACCCAGAGAGGTTGTCAGCCTATGACAAACCTTAAAAAAATCTTTTTAACCTTTTGATTTATACGATTGGTTGCAACGTTTACGTGTTCTGTCACAGAAGGACACCTACTCCTTTTGCTTCCTTTTTTCTGGCACTTATTCTTTGAATCTATAGGGTGCAATTCATCTGCAGGCATCTGTCTTAGGACGATGACATGAGGTCATTCTGCAACATAACACGACGCGTCTTTCTTTTCTGTGTTCAAGGATTCTGAAACTTTGTGACAGACCCCCCCTCTCTCTTGACTGTCAGCAAAGAAAACCCCTCCCACTAGAGGCAGTGGTACAACAAAGCAGTGCACAAGCCTAGAGAACATTGTCAACAGTAGTGCAGATATTAGGAAGCCTGACGTCACTTGACAAGGTGACGCCACGTCACACCATGACATCACATGACATTGCGAACTCTTCATACATTCACAAAACCCTCACAATGTGACCACGCATTTAAGGCGCCCTATTTGAGCCTGTCATGGCTGGTGAATGGAAGCCCACCCTTGCAGCCCTCGCGCTCCACGAAGACCCATCGGTAGGGGCACCGGTCACACTTGTCCCCTTCCACGCCGGGCAGGCACTGGCACTGGCCCGTCTGCTGGTTGCACACGGCACCCGCCGAAAACTTGGCCGCACAGTTGCACGCTGAAACACGAGGCACATTGTTGGACGACATTCGGAGAGCATCTGCCACATGAAACGCCCTCCGACGAACCATAAAAATTACTTTTCCATGCAAAGCACTGAAATATGATGCCAGGACACTACCCCAAATATGTTTTTTCTATAGAGTTTCTATAAAAAGCAAGCTCGAACCAAAACCAGAGGACAAGGACAGAGAAGAATGTGATGTCAGACTCAAGAAGTCCTTGGGGTCATTTCAGTCCCCTGAACCTTTTTGTTGAAAGTTTATCTAAATTGACATGTTTTTCTGCATTTCAGTGGTAATAAAATTGTGCGTTATGGATTTTATATATTTATTAATGAATATGTATCTGACTCAGGCAGCCTATTACTTCTAAGATACATATTGAGAATTGAAGCGCTCCCCTGGGCCGACGACTTTGTTGGTGATGGTGAGATTGTTTAACGAAAGCCAGGTCGACTGGCTTCGACGAAATCCATTCTCTAACTGCCTTTTTTGCTCCAGCTTGCTCTCTCTACCCATCTGACCTTGTTTTTTAGAGCCAAACGACAATCCCTCGCAGTCACTATTCAGCATTCAACGCTACACATTACTTGATTTTCTTGAGGACCTAATTTTTGCCAATTTCGCAACTTGAACAATTTCCAAAAACATCTTTTACGCGAATATATCACCCCATGGGGAAAGGGGTAATATTCGCCCCTTTCCCATAACATTTTACTCCAAATCGCAAAACTTTGTGCCTCCAAAAATGACTAAATATTGAGCTCGCAAAGATAAAGTTCTTTACAGTATCCAACAATATAACAAGGTCTGCACCCTCATCGTTATCATACATGACTGAGGAAAAAAAAAGTGGGGGAAGCGCCAAACAGTGGATTCTCCACAGGTGGTTTTTGCACAAAATCAAAGTTCAATCACTGGCCACAAACAATTTTTCTCGATAGTTACGCCCTCATAGTTGCGTTCCTCTAATACTATTACAGGCACCCATAAATGACTTGTCACTACAGTAACTGAAACAAGTTTCCAACAGGTGCGTTTAATGTCCTATACTGCACGAGCATGCAAAGTGGTACAAAAGCGGCAAGAAATTACAACCCAGGAGGCAGTGGCAGGGTCCGCCAGTGGTCGCAATTCTCGCTGTTGGTCTCAAAAGTGCGAGCAAAGAAGGCGAAGCTACGAACGGGTCGCCACTGTCACAGCCTTTCAACTCCTGGCTGCCGGAGTCTCCGTCGACTGACCCTACAGCAAAACAGACGTCCACCATAACTGCCGCTTCACCCCTGCTTAAATCACAGTCAGCAACTAAACGCGACATCACGAGGCGGAAATTGAAAAGCCAAAAACGAGGATTGAAAAGCCAAAAACGAGGACACGACGAACACATGAGGCGGCACCAAGAGGCGAATATCGGGAAACCAGAAATAAAGGCGCAATGAACGCCACGATTGAAGATGCGCCGGTATTGTGGGCGCTCGCGAAAGAGCCACTCACAGATGCGTCCGTCGGCCGAATAGCGCCAGTAGCCCGGCTCGCAGACGTCGCAGCGCGGCCCTCCAGCCCCCGGCTGGCAGGGGCACTGTCCCGTCTTCAGGTCACACTGCTTGGACTGAGAGGCCAGGCTGCAGTCGCACGAGCGGCAGCCTCGGCACTCCGAGAACCCCCAGTGGTTGGGCTGCACGGCCAGACACACGCCCACTCACTCACCGCAAGCCCAAGGGCGGTTTGTCCGCCCAAAATGTTGAGCATCCTTAAAAGGCGGGCCAAGAAGAACACGCCGGTACTTTAGAACTTCTAGGCAAAACAGCGATGAGGAAAGAGCCACTGGGAACAAAACCAGCAGCATGAGCTTCAACCATTTCAACTGGCTGACATCCTTCCTTCACTGCAGAAATGACACGTAAAAGTTTACTGCCGATTAAAATAACGACCAGAAGTCCTTTCATCTGGTGCCGAAACCCAGAAATGAGGTGCAATAGAAAGAACCCGGTCGGTCAACTCGAGAGCATCTTCAGCAGCCAACAAAGGCCGAAAATATGTCCCATCAAGCCACGACTGACCATTCTTGAAGCACGTAAACAGAAACTTTTCAGCTCTCAACAAATGTTACATAAAAAACTTTCAGCCTTTCCACTCTGGTGAAGAAGGAAGACCAGCAAAGCTGTACTATGGTCAGACGACCTCAAGGACAACTTGTTGGACGACTTCTTAGACGACGCCTACAGAAATTCAGCCTTTCCACTCTGGTGAAAACCAGAGTAAAAAGGCTGGAAACGTTGCCGCCATCTATGAGCGGCGGTAGCAACCAGACAACCGGCAAGCCAGTTGTCTGGTTGCCACCGTCACTCACAGATGGTGGTAGCTGTCCAGAGTTTTGTGTCATCATTTGTTTGCTGACGAACACGATGCTGGGGAAACTAGCCCTTAACAGCTCCGCTGTAAAAAGAAAGTAGTTTTTTGAAGCACATTTTTTTTAACACATGCAGTTCGACGAGATAAATCTTTTGGCGTTTGAATTTTTTTAAATGGTCCACAAACAGAGAGGTTATGGTCATAAGATGAGAAGCTGATAAGCTCGAAAATTACTCCACTAGGGAAAGCACTCCGACACAAGTATGCCACGGCACCAATACATATGCTCGTTGACGATGACACAAGACATCTGTTTCTCATTTGCATCATACCGATTCCATGGGTTTACTCTAGGCACGAGGGGATTTTGAGTTCAAAGCGAATTTGATGCGGATAGTGATTTTGGCCGAATATTTTCTAATCGAATATGGAAGAGTTTCTCTGAGCCTTTCACTACTGCACCATGCTTAAACGAAAATCCTGCTGAACTCATAAGGGTGTTCCCAAGCTTTCACTTAGAAGTCCATTTCTAAGCTAAATTCATATATAACTATATTTATGGACTGCGGCCTCAGAAAGTTTAATGCCTAAGGTTTTAAACTTTTAGAGATACCCCGAAATACCTACCGTAGAATACTGTGCATCCACCCATTCCGCACTAAGCGCCTACCCTCAAAATTTAAAATATCTAAAAAAATATGCACAGGACATATATATAAGGGTGGTTCAAGTGACCAGGCTCGACCTAAAATGGGCCATATAAATCAACGCCTGCATGTAGCCATGTAAACTTTTCGTCAAAGGTGTATCTGTTTCACAGGTCGGTTTTTTCTTGTAAAATTACAAAGTGTAGTTCTCTTTTAGTAAAAAAAATTGGGCCAAGAAACCTGCCAGGGTCTATGGCGGACGGCGACCCAGACGACCAAGTCCAGTAGCAGGGTGTGTTTTGCGTTCGTATTGATAGATGGCGTCGGAGAGCAGTGCCTAAAGGTGCAGCCGACCAGCGAAAGATAGCAGACGAAATCCGTTGGCAGAAAAAGCGCCACCGTTATGCAGACGCGTTTCTTTACTTAAGTTTTGCTTTTATTGTTTGCATTTATTTTTTAACCGAAGGTACACTTCAAAAAGATTATATTCATTTTAATAAACCACGGTGGTCGCGAGCCGTCGCAATCAGGAGGGAGCGCCATCTATCAATACGAATGCCAAACACACCCCGCTACCGGAACTCTGTCATCTGCGTTGCTGCCTGCCTTAGACCCTGGCAAGGTTCTTGGCCTTAATGTTTACAGAAAGAGAGCTACGCTTTTGTAATTTTACAAGAAAAAACCGACCTGTGAAATACACCTTTGACGAAAAGTTTACATGGCTACGTGCAGGAGTCGATTTTTACGGTCCATTTTAGATCAAGCCTGGTGACTTGAACCACCCTACATGTAAAATTGATGACCTCACATGCGCCCATCCCCTATTTTTTCGCGATTATCTTCAAATTTTGAGTACCTGCTTGATCGGTATTTTACGGTAATCGAGGGGATTTATACTACATCTTTGTGCATAAAAAAAATCTTTTCTTCAATCTCGTATTTTATGTACAACGAAAAGGCAGTCACTAATGATAAACGCAGGTTGCCCTCTAATATATGCTCCTGCATAATAAGCACAGTCTAATTCTTTTCATTTTACCGCTACACAGATGATAACGTTCACAAAGCTCACGCAACTCCAATATTTACTTTTCCAAGCGCTGATCGCGGCAGCATAGCCCCATTGAGCAGGTTTCTTACCGAGCACCGGTACGCTCCGGAGAAACAGCACCCACGGAGCTACCTTCTGCGGGTGCTGCTTCTCCACGGAGCACCAGTGCTCGGCAAGAAACACAGTACTCGGGATTGACCCGCCGTCATCAACACTGAAGAAATATTAATATCACAGTCACCTGGAAGCAAATTTTGAATAGTGTATTAATCGAAACTATTATTTGAAAATTTCTACGATCCTAGTCACCCCCAAGCTGTTTTCCCATCAAAAGATAAAATGTTATTTGTATGCTTCCAATGAAACTACAGTTTTCATAGAGACGTATCCTCGACTGTTCCTTTTTCTTCTACTTTGAAACTTCCTCTTTTCCTGCCTCAGTCTCAGGCTAACATCAGAACAGTTTTCACTCGGCCAAATGGGAGGCCACCACGAGACAGCGTATACCACTCATACTGCCAGAGGGTGCAGGATGACACAGCGATATTGCGGTGATGAGCGGTCAACTACGGCAGCTTACTGCGCAACGGTCGCAGAGGCTCCCTTCCACGTTGGAGTGGCAGTTGCAGGTGCCCTGGAGGGGATTGCAGGAGTGCATGCCGCACTGGTTGCAGGAGCACTCTGCGAGAGAAAGCACGCAGGCTCCCGTTACACTGCCGGCAATGGATGCAGTTGCTTCAAAGCTACGGGGCCCTCTTACACAATAAACGATCGAGTGCAATGTTGCGAGTAAATGCCTGCGTATGTAATCCCTTTACAACATTTCATGTTACAATGTACCACAATGGGCGTTACGATGTACTGCAACAGACATTTCGAGCAACCTAGTTTCTAAGATAAAAGAACCCTTACGCAGGTTCTTTCTTTTTAAATGGTGATACCTCTAAAAATTACCCCCTGCGTCATAAGTCCCGCAACTTCTCACCCAATGATGATGCCACTATTACAGAACACTTTGTAAGATACTAAACCTGCAAATACGCTATCCTTCACAATATCTGCACAGTAACAGTGCACAAAGGTTTCATTCTCACACCCTAGCGAAGGGAAGCATCTTAATTTAAGATGTTTCCATTCCCTAGTTGGACTGTCAGTTGGAGCAGGCAAGCGCTTACTGCGACAGTCCTTGACCGAGATGGCGTCGCCGTAGAATCCCGGAGCGCACAGTTCGCAGGCGGGTCCGGACGTGTTGTTGAGGCACAGCACGCACTCCCCCGTCACCGAGTCACAAGAGGCCGGGTTGGCCGGGTCAATGTTGCCGCTGCACTCGCACGGCTTGCAGCTGCTGCCAATCACGTCGGGCTCGCCAAAGTAGCCCGCATCACAGCTGCATGGAAGACCGGTTTTTTCATTTAGCCAAAACTCTGTGAGCCTGCTTTGTGACTGTGCAACAAAGAGCGTGCATGCATGAAAGAAAAATAATTAAGGCTCAAAAAATGCACATATCCAGGAGAAACTGAATCTCTCGTGAAACTCTCGGTAAAATGCCTATAGACCAACATCAGGGTGTTTACAAACAAGTCCGTGTTTGCCAACGCCAGGTGTGAGCACTGCGTGTGCACAGAAACCAGATTCACGCATAAAGTATCTGCGCCCGTAGCAGCGTCATGGCAGTGGTGCGACGTCAGTCGTGCGTCTATGCATGGGACTCGTATGTCAAAAGACCAAATACGTGCAGAATGATACATTGATAGACCGAAGCAGCCAATGAGCCTATGCCAATAGAAGGTATCAACAGACCAATAGGTCATCAGTTTTGTCCATCCAAAGTTTTGCTCGAGTTTGCAGTTGTTCCAACACACTCCGAGATGCCTCGGCCCATTAACAGGTTAAAACAAGACAGGTCATGCTTACACGTCGCAACGAGGTCCGTAGTAGCCCTTCTTACAGTTGCAGCTAATCTCTTGTCCGCTCGGAGACACTTCGCAGCTGTCGGCGAAGCTGGAAAAGAAATAAAAAGAAGCGGGTGTCAAGCAGTCGTCTTCGATTTCCTGTCACTGGAACTCACTTGTTGGAGGGCAACGGGATCGGGCAGGCACAGATGAGGCAGTTGTCGTGGTTCCCCCTGGTGGCATCCCCGTGGTAACCGGGTAGGCACATTTAGGGACCAATATTGGATATCCCGTACAGCTTTATTTCTTTATTCGTTAAAAACATAACTTTCACACCTGCTGTCTTAAAGAAACTTGGCACTCTTCGTGCACAAACTTAGTGAACATCTCACTCGCCTCCAAATATCATCTTTGCAGCAGTCCTAGGTTTACAGTGACGAGCGAAATAAATTTCCCACTCGGATCAATTAAGGTGGCGGCCCTCTTTGTTTTTCGGAAAATTACTCCAACTCCTTTTTCGGCCGCAACTAGAGAAATTACCCCTAATTACGACTCAAACTCAATATATAAGAAGTGGAGAACAGCTAAATGCCCTTCTGCCCCAGCACTCATGCAACGTCACCCTCAACTTATCAGCTCAAAAAGCAAAAGTTTCGTCTGTGCGCGCTTCCGCCGCCACAGCTTGGCATGCGAAAAGGCGCCGCAGGCTGCTGAACGCGTCTCACAGTCGAACGCCAGCTCCTCCGCTAGCGGCGCTGCTCGCGTTTTTCAAAGCGCCCCCTATAGTTCCCGCACGGAGTGTATAGGTAATTTTCGTAACTAAAAAGAGTGTAAAGTTTTTTTCGGAGAGGCCTTGTACAATTTTTAAACAATAAGGAACTGATAGTTAGCAATAGCTGTACGACAAAAGTGTGTAGTCAACAACTGATACAAGTGATGCAGGTAAGTAATTGTAGTCATTCAATGTTCAAGGAATGAATTATGCACATGACATATTAGCCCTAAGAAAGGCCATCAACTCCGCAGGTTAGCCTCCAAACAAAGCAACCTGATGATGAAGCGTTTTATGGTGCAAAATGCACCAAACTAGGTTACACATCACATTCTTTTAGTATGACATGTGACCTGAGAGACACGTGTTGTATTGGAACTTGTGCAACAGGCCAGTGCTAGAAATAAAACTGTGTAATCAATCGAACAAGATGAGAGGATGATCTCCCGGCGAAAGAACAGGCTGAAAGGGCACAAAATATCTAAACAAATCTCGCAAAAACGATGGCACCATTTTTACTCGGCACCAGAACCAAGCCATGGAATGGGTGGGATGGACACAACATCTGAGCAGTGTGCAGAGCGCGGCGGAAGCAAAGCAGCCCGTGCAGCGCACCTGTCGGCAGAGCAGGTTGTAGTTGCAGTGGTGGAAGTTTGCCCTGCCCGTGGCCAGCCGGTCGGCGCCCGACAGCACCAGGTCTGCGGCCACAGAGCCGTCATTGTCCAGCGAGTGGTAGAAGAAGACCAGGGCGTGCGGCCCGGCCCTGGGCACTCGCAGGTCCAGCCGCAGGGACCCGTGGTCTTCGTCCAGGTGAGCCATGGGCCCGCTGTGCAGCTCCTGGGGACGACCGCCACAATGATGGGGATCACGGGTCTTATGACGCAAAAAAGAACTGCTTTGTAGGCTATACTGTGTCCAAACTAGGTTATATTGCTGCGAACGGAACAGTGATGGAAGCATACACAGCTACAACACGGGATAACTGCGTATGTATATACATTTATATGCATATTTATAAAAAGCCAAAAGGAAAGCATTGTTATCATTTTGATATAAGAAGCTAAGGATGTGTTCTCTTTTTCGTTAAATTTTTGTGCTCCATATAGCGTGCAAGAGCAGACGCTGACAGATGCTTATATACCGTTCCGATGTTTACAAAATCACAGCCAGCATGCTATCTTTTCCGCCGAGCACACGCTTATTCATTGATTCGGAAAGCGAGCAAAGCACCCACCATGCGCACGAATATTGAGCACTGCACCGGCTTTAAGCCCTTTGTTTACAAACTACTCGGCTATTGAACACCACACAGCTCAGCTCGCGATCTTCATGGCCTAGCATGCGCATGTTCGTTGCAACAGAAAGCGAGTAATGCATGCATAAGTACGAACATTGAAAACTGTACCGGTCAAAAGTCCTTCTCTGCCTACGATTGCAATTTGTACATGATCAAACGATAGTCATCATTTATCCACGTCTAAAGAATGGATTGCACGAAGCGAAGTTTAACAGCGAAATTCTCGCTGCTAAACTCCATCGCAACGCACTGCCTCCTATTTGTTGTCACCAGACGAGCCCGGTACATGCAATCAAGGTGCCGGTTGTGCTGGCGACTCCATAACTTGTGACAGTACAGAGGTTGTCTGCAAATGAAGACAACCAGCGTATACAACCAATGCACAACGCAATCGACAAATGTGGCGTTCACGTTAAATAGGTGCATTCAAATGGTTGAAACGTGGTTCTAACTTTGGAGCCAGTTCTACATCACTGGCTCATGTTCCGCGAACAATATCTACAGCTCGCCTAAATCGACGGTCAACAACTTGTGTCCCAAGCCAACCCTGAGCTGCATACCCAACTGGGAGCAGGTCATTTGTTCCGGAAAAGTTTAGCACCATCTAGAAGGAAGAGACTACAAATAAATTGCCGGTGAATCCCTCTTAAGAAAGCACTGTTTTAGTACGAACTTCAATGCAAATTCAGCCCGCAGCGGTACTATAAAATTATATCATGGCTCAAATACTGGTCTAAAAAATGAAAAAGTGGTAGATCACAAAAAAAAATAGCTGCATTTTTAAAATAGTAATTTCCAAAACTATGATATTTTAGGGAGTTTTTAGTGCCAAAGACCCATGTCTTCCCTTAAAGGGTAACTCGAATTAGTTGTCGAACTAAAATAAGTGACTGGTATCGATTCACGGAGACTAAATACGAGCACTGCCAAAATATTACGCTAATGAGAAAGTGCGATCCACTCTAAAACCGATATTAAAGATGTTACCACCAGCTTATCCTCGGGCATTCGGCGAGTTGGCGTCGGGGCCCAAGAAACCTTGGGCCCCGTCGTCACGTCCGCACTCAAGCAGGTTACTTGTTCGTATTGCCACTTCCCTTACCATGCTTTTCTGCTTTGTTTTCAGCTGTCCCAGCGTAAGATTTCTGCTCGTTATGTTACGCTTTAGTGGTTGTTGATTGTAAGTGCTCCTCAGCGACCGTGCACAAAGATTCTCGACTCCCTGCTCGCTCAATCGGGTCGTGCTGCCGAAGTGCGAGGAGCCCAAGGGACTGGCATCGTTGCACAATGCCGAGCACTCCTTGCCAAGCTGTGGGTTGTGCAAACAACCTGCTGCGCAACCCAAGCTTGTGTTTTCACCGGTTCTTCAAAAACTCAGAGTTGAGGAGGGTGTGGGTCGACGCCGTTTGTCGAATCGATTCTGGAGGACCGTGGACACCGAAACCTTCACTGGCGGCCATAATCGAGTTCGTTCCTGTGTTTGTGCCTGGAATCAAACTTTAGTATTCAAAGAGGGAAGGAAATTACGGCAGCCGTACACCTATGCGCTAGATACCCTGGTTTCTTGTCCCCGCGTAGTGACTTCAAAATTCCTCTTCCGGGTGGTTAACCCGTCGAGAGCGATACCCACCTTGATCAGCAAACCGGCCCAGGGCCGGTAGATACATTGAGGTCTACCTACTATCTACCTACTATTGACGCCTACCTACATTGTAAGCGTCATTTGAAGTGCTGCCACACGGTTCTCAGACAAAGCACACGAGTTGGAGATATCCACAAGAAAGCTTTTCAAGCCACGGCCCGAGCCGAGCTCTCGTACCTCCAGGACGTCCGCGTCGTCGAGAATTTGCACGGGGGCACCCTGTCCGTCCGCTCCCTGGGCGGCGGCCACCGGCACGGCCGTGTCCGGCAGGGCCGGGTAGCGCAGTTGGCGGCAAGGGCCCGCCATGTTGCCCCCCCGCAGGCACGGGTGGCGCACCCGCTCCTGCAGCAGCGTCGCCTCGTAGAAGGCCTCGGGCAGCAGCACCATGTAGTCCTGGGAATGCGGGGCCACACTCACTCCCACGTTCCGGGGGGCCGACCCAGCGAATCAAATCAAAGTTTTACGTGCCAAACCAATGAAGGGCATTCGGTACGCCTAAGCGTACTAAATAACCGAGGATCGAGTTCAACTGCCCGGGGACCTTTTTACACGCAACCGAAATGTTGGCTCCCAGCAATAAGCCTCCATCAAATTGCAGGGACCTCGGCCGAGATTCGGACCTGCCACTTGGGGATCCGTAGGCCGGTGCTTTGCCTCAAGACCACCAAGGCGGCAGGCCGACGCGCAGCCTTCCTCCCCGTGGGTATGGTGGCAGAACGTGTCTCCGACTGGTGTAATTACTGCATCCTCACACGTCCTCTCTCAATTTCTGACTGAGGACATCGCAGAAGTGGCGCGCCATCGCCTGCCGTGACCCCCGGCGGCGTCGCAGCCGTGGAGTTCTACAGCAGGTCGCACACGAGCTTGACAATCCACAGACGCTTGAGCAGCCAGGAGTTGGCATGCCACGACGACGACGCCACCCTCGCTCGCTTGCCTCTTTTTGCAAAACTTCTACGACCAACTGCCAGGATTGCAACGTCCGACAACGTGACATGCCAGCTCCCGCGACATACTCTGTAGCCACTTCGGGACCACTTCACTGCGTGGGAGGGACAGGATGCTAAGTACACCGGCCAAAGACGCGTCCCGGGCAGGCAGGGACCACGCATCCGCTACGTACCAGGAAGACGGGCCGGGGGGCCTTGATGGAAAGGGTCCATCGGCCGGGGTTCAGCACGAAGGGGAGGGCAGTGACCCCGTCCTGCCCCACCACCCCCTGGAAGCGGGGCTCTCGGCTCGGGGGCAGCACCAGCACCTACTCGTGCGGCGATGTCGTGGCGGCGCTCTCAAGACGGCAAAAACGCCCGTGTCGTCGTGTTTGTTTACTTCGACTACAGTGGTGATTTCTAAGCATTTGTGTCCTCGAACATCGCCCGGATTTCTTATTTGGCGCAATTCATGCAGGTGCTCAAGTTCAAGGTATTACTGGCGCGTAGCGTATGAAGGATACGAATTTTCACGCGTTTTCATCTCCGGAGAAAAGTGATTAGGGTTAGCAATCCTGAACGCTCGCAACGTCCGTCCGCAACCCGCGACGCCATTAAAAGGCTGCGCCAGGCAAAAGCCGCTAATTTCTTTTAAAATGTGTGACGCACTTGAGACATAACTGTACTAGTCTATTGAAATAAAGACTTTCCTCAAACTAAGCTTATTTTTTCATCTAACATAAAATAAATTCTTTTACAAAGGTAAGTTGTCTCATGGCATGTATTTTGGCCTGAAAAATTGATGTTTTGGTTATAGTGCGGTACCGCTTATAGTGCGGATTTTCGCGACTCCCCAGACATACGTTATATGCGGTCTACACTGTATACCTATAGGGAGTATTCACTGGACGCCACATTTGTGGGTGCTGTTTAGAGCGCATGCTCCGAACGAGCTCACATCAATAGGCTGCTAAGACCGGCACTCTTCATGGGCCGGAATGCACGTTGCAAAAGGACTGTGGAAGCTCGCAATCAGCACGCGCTCAGCAGTCGCGCACACAGCTATGGCCGCCAGTGAATACTCCCTATATGCTCAATAAATGATAGCATTAGGATTAGTCCCTGCATTATACTGTCAAGAATTGTGTCTTTGTATACTGATGTAGATGCCCTCTAAGCAGTGCGAATAGGGCAAGGTGGAAAACGATCTTAGTCTTGGGCAGGGTGTAAGATAGACAGGTGGGGAAACGGCCCATAGAAGCCTACCGCAGCGCCGTGACCGGATTGTGTACTTGTCTGCTTGCGGGTACCCCCGATTTGCGACAGATGGTGCTGCGGCGAGAGGAAAAAAAGTCGGAATCGGATTTGCGTGCAACTCTACGGGAGAGTGCGCAAAATAAACCGAGAGCACGACAGTCCCCCATTGAAAATCCACGAGAAACCATCTCCGTCAGTTTAGCTGGTCGCCACCGGTCGCCCACCCGGAGTGAGAGTTTGCGGTGCTCCACATAGATGGCGCCACAGAAAAAGAGAAAACCGAGGGGGACACAATCCGGTCGCTCATCTGACTCTCGTTTCCCCACCTGTCTACCTTACACCCTGGTCTTGGGCCCGTTCCATTTCAAGTATAGAGTAAGACTCAGTCAGACCCAACAAGCAAATGGACAGTTTCCTAGTTCTCAGAGATTCAAATACGGTACCAACTTTAGTGCTAAAGTTTGGTGATTTGCGCATACCTGCGAGAGAAAACTGTGCTAAAGGATCGGGGTAATGCCCACATTAAGATGAACACCGCTGTTGAGAGCTCCCAGGTGCTGGTCCCGTCCCAGGTGAAAACCATGCAGTCCACTTTCAGCTGGATTAGGCAACCAGTCTTAGCTGGATCCATTCAGATTGTCTGATTTTCAGCTGGAGGCATCTGAGACCACACATGTCAGGCGACATAATAACAAGACATTGCATGTCGTGTTGCGTGGTGCTCCAAACAACGTCGTCATGCGAAGCGTCATGTGATGCAACACACCATATCATGTGATGCTGATGAATCACTGCAATGTCACTCTTGCTATAATTATATATTAACAGTTCACCCGCAGCTGCATTATGAAACTGGTCCCAGCCGGATCCAGCTAAGACCAGTTCCATAATCCAGCACATTTTTGTGTCTTTTCTTATACAGACTCTCCCGTAACAGATTGTAAGGTTATATGGTATAACAGTGCTGTCTCGTCCATAGGGACGCCTCCGTTCCCCAAAACATTGCGAGTTGTTCATTATAACGAGACAAAAAAATGTGTATTTACCCAATTCATCCTAGAAAACCTTGCCTATATAAAGGGGGCATCCATTTTAATGGGGTTCGTATTAACGACACATGACTGTACAACGTACAGTGCAATCCACTTATAACGATAATTAAAAAACCTGAAAATTCAATCGTTTTAAAAGGTTAGCACTGTATCTGAACTAGAAACCCTAGAAACTGATCATTATAAGCAGTACATTGTTTTATGTGGTATCGGTATAAGTGGATTGCACTGTAGCGAGTAGAGTATTTTTGTCTCTCACCTGAATGTTGGAGAAGATGGCGTAGCCCTTCCAGGAGAAGCCCGGGAAGAGGCCGCTGTCGAAGTCAAAGCGGGCGTTGACCCCGCTGGGGGTGTGTCCGTCCTCCACCTCGTACTTGTGCTGGTGCAGCGTGGGGAAGAAGTGCGCCTGCAGGGGCTCCGAGCAACGGCGCCCCGTGATGCGGGGCCGGCACTGGCACTGCCCGCTCCGGGCGTCGCACGAGCTGCCCACCGCTCCGCCCACGTCGCACTGGCAGTCTGCGCAACACAAAAGGAGCGGCACAGTGTTGCCAAACTATTACTTATGCCTATGCTTAAACGACAACTACGCTTCAGTTTTGAAAAAACAATGCAGTCCTCTTCAGTATTCTCTACGAAGGCCACACGTAAAATATTACGACCAAGTTCTCTCTAAATGTTTCTTAAACGGTCTGGCTGACTTTGGAAAGTGCCAAGTTGCCAAAATTGGGCGACTCTAACGGGCGTATTGAGGCACTGTTGACAGCGCAGTCGTAGCCGACATTGAGTTAAACGTCATCAATATTGCAATACTTTGTTTAAGCTGAAGTCTTGGCAGGCTTTCAGCGTTCCTGCCAAGCACGCACGCTCAAGCAGTGCAAGTACCGTTCGGGGCCACATGCTCAAGCTTGTAGCGTCGGCTGCATCAGGACTTAAGCTGAAACGAAGTCTACTTTTTGTTTGTTTTTACTTCCCCCGGCAAGCGTAATGGGGGACGTCACCAGCGTCTCTGCTCGGTGCTCGGCGGTATCCACGTGATTGGCTAAACACGCCTGCGCAGCCCGCTTCTCAGCCTTGGGAGAGCCGTCCAGCCGTCCTGCTGTTACCGCCGTCTGACACGTCTCAACCGTCGTCATCATCGCCTCGCCAGCCGCAATTATTGACTCTCGCGAGTTTTGTACACACTACGTGCACAGACTGATGCCGCAGTTATGCAGACCTTGTAAGATATCGTAGACACCAAAACGTGGTGAAGACTGCAGTGCAGAAGACACTTGCACCTTGCACACACCCGTCCCAAGTTACTTACCCTGATCCCGCCCATTGTTGCGTAGAAGATTATGTGACCGCACGTACCACGCAATAGCTATATTTTGGGCGGCCGGAAGCCAATGTTGCCTGACGGAGCCAAAGTTTTGGTTTCAGTGTCTGCTCATGTTTAAAGTAAGATTTCACAAAATATATCCCATTTCTTGAGAAGCAAATGATGTAGTGGCTTTTATTGGTGCTTTTAAATGTGAAATCACTCATAATTTTGAAATTTTCTGAATTGAGTGGAGCTGCCCTCTAACACAAATTGCCACCAAATTCACAAAAATAAAATACAGCGAACAAGTCAACTAAAATGCCTCCTACCACATATGAAAGGAGGTGCAAAAAACAGTGAGGATAAATAATTGTGTACAGCCAACTTTTCCCCAGCAGACAGCATCCTTTATGGTGGCTAGCACCTAACATCACAAAAGGTTAAAAAAAAAAAGAGAGATTAAAGGATTTAAAGATCTAGCACAAACCACACATGGAAGTGTGGTTTCTGCAGCACATTCTGTGAACACAGGTTTTTGTCAGCATGATTAGGCGTGTACATTTGTTTCAGAGGCCAAGTTCAGCTTTGTAAAGAACTGGTGGATCTCTGGCAGTCGCAGGAAAAACAAGGCAGTCATTGCTACAACTTGCAGACAATGCTCCTTTTGCACACCCATTAGTATATCCTCTGGGCAGAGCTTTGTTCTTTGACATATCACTTTCCTTTAGCCCCCGTCTCCCTGAAGCTTTTTGTGCTCAAATAATGCTGCTGCAATCTGGTGTCCTGTTTAGACCACCCTCACAGCTAACCTGGAGTCACTTCAAAATTGCAGTGCTCATATTATAATAACCAACTATCATCAAACACCCAGTGTTTCATTCATGAAAATTAACCTCTCTTTACCTCTTCTTTTATTGTGCCATAGGTTTCTATGTCTTCTCTACAAAATATATCATACTAATCCTCTCCTAAAAGAAACACTCTTCCTCGACTATCAGTTCAAAGTTGGCATTCCTCACTGTCAGGCCTCAGCCTATAACGATTCCTTCCAACCTAGAACATCATCAGAGTGGAACCACCTGCCTGCATCTATAATATCAATACCATCGTTAGATTTGTTTAAAACTACCATTAATAATAACTTTTGAAATCCCGTAACCGCGTTCAACTCATATGTATGTCTTTTTACTGTGTTCAGTTGCCCACTACCTTCTGTAATGCCCTTTCGGCCCCGAGGGTATTGCAATAAATAAATAAACAAGTAATAAAAAGTTCGCGAGCAAATACCTGCACAGTCAGTGAAATAGAGAGAGGATAACTACAAAAGAAAGTACAGTATGAGACAAGCAGTGAGGAAAAGAAGGTTGCCGTCCGGTCAGCGACCGAAAGCACCCCACTGCCCTGGATGCCCATCTACAGAAGACGGGAGTAAAATGCCAAGGCCCAGAGGCCAAGACCCACCCTGGCAGCCGAGCAGGTCCTGGTCCTGGAGGTGGAAGGTCCCGTCGAGGCACTCTGTGCACTGGTGCTGGCCCACGTTGGGCTTGCGCAGGCACTGGCCGCTCTGGCCGTCGCACACCCGCAGCCCCCCCAGGGTGCCCGGGGAGTGGCACTCGCAGTCTGCGCAAGGGGAGGGAACGGCGGCGTTAGCAAACCACCTCGAGCGCTCCGGTTTTGAGGCATTGTACCTTAAAGCGTGGGTTCTCAAACAGGGTTCCCCAGAGCACCCTTAAGGGTTCCAGAAGCAGCCTCAAGGGTTCCTTGGAGCACCCCCAAGGGTTCTCCAGAGCACTCTCGAGGGTTCCCAAGAGCACCCTTAAGAGTTCCTTGGGGCACCCCCAAGGGTTCTCCAGAGCACTCTCGAGGGTTCCCAAGAGCACCCTTAAGAGTTCCTTGGAGCACCCCCAAGGGTTCTCCAGAGCACTCTCGAGGGTTCTCAAGAGCACCCTTAAGAGTTCCTTGGCGCACCCCCAAGGGTTCTCCAGAGCACCCTCGAGGGTTCCCCAGAGCACTCTCAAGCTCCCCAATTTCCTCGACCGCACTTGTCCCAAAGTAAAGTGCCTTTCCAGATTAAGTAGGCAGATTTGAGCCATTGATTGATGCTTAGCTATGAGCCAAGCACTATCTAGTAAGTGCATGATTGTTTAGAAGGCCTGTGGGCTTTTGTGCTGCTTTATTGCATAAGGAGGGGTTCCTTGGTCTTCAGTCGAGCCAGATAAAGGTTCCTCAAGGTCAGAAAGTTTTGAGAACTTGTGCTTCACTTTGTCCCCATTCTTCTAGTGCAGTCTCTAACAAAAGGCAAGATTAACTTTAAGAGCATGGGGGTGCTGCACAGATTTTGGATGGTTTCATAATGTTGCCAAGAAAACCACAACCTGACCAAGTGCATCTCCTCCCCTCAAATGCGAGCAAGCAGAATTGGGTTCTTTATGCTTTTCTTTAACCGATACCCGACACCGTAAGGCTTGAATAACAGGCTTAGGTTGAGCTAATTGGTACTTGTCAATACAAGGAAGTCAGCTTGAACATTAGACAAACACAGAGAGGTCTGTATGTTTGTTTTCTCTCTTTGCATTTGTCTAATGTTCAGGCTGACCTCCTTGCATTGACCCTAAGGAACGTCATGACAGGTGGTCCTGGTGCCTCAACCATTCTTTACCGATTTCTGACAGCGGAAGTTACAAACACTGTTTTCCTCTTTTGTCTAAAAAACAAAATGATGCTGTTTTAGACAAAAGAAAAAGCCAGGCACATGAGTGCACAGAGTTTGCACTGCCTCCACCAGATGCCATCACTCATGATGCCAAATTTAGGCAGTGGTGGCAGTATTGAAAAGTCATTTTTGAGAACAAGACAAAGGAAGGAAGGACGAGTTCTTTTTCAGAGATCAATAAAGATAAGAATGGCTAAGTGGACAATTCCACGTGCAGATTCAAAGACGCTAACATTAATGAGACATGCCTTCAGCAGAATGGCGAGTTGCTGCCATTTGAACCGAATTCTCGAAACCCAATATGGCGACTGCACTGTCAACCGCAACAAAACACAAACAAAACAATTGTCGGCAAAGGGAGGAGAGATGCGACACTCCAAAAACTATGGCGGCAGAAAGCTCCTGGACGCGACATGAGGCCACGAGAGGTGACGCCAGAAGTGTGGAGGGATATGCCCTCAACGATGACCAAAACCAAGAGACGCCGTTGTACGAAAAGGAGAAATGACTTGGCGCCAACAGCTGTTCTGGTCACCGCCGGGGCCCCGAAGGGGACCAAGCGTGGTGTCATGTCGCCTCCAGAAGCTTTTGACCTCGACGCCAAAAGTGTATACGGTGTCTCTATGCCAGACTACACCCGAGCCTCACCCTCGCAACCCTGCGGGTCGCTCGGCTTGAGGTTCCAGTAGAGCGGGCGGCACTGGTCGCAGATGCGTCCCGTGACGCGCTCCTTGCACTCGCACAGCTCCCCGCTCGTCAGGCTGCCGCAGCCGCCAAACGTCGCCAGAATCCCCGCCGGGTTGCAGTTGCAGCCTGCGGGAAGCCACGCCCCCTTCCCCTTGAGACACCCTCGCAGACAACAAGCTTAGTAATTCTCAAAAACATCCGTGGGATGCCTTACAGATTGAAGGGGCAAAAACATTTACAAACTGTTACGTAAAATAGCTTAATGTACACTGCAAGATACTGTTAGAGAAAACAAAGAATTGGCAGTTTTTCTTGTCTTTTAGAATCGAAAGAGCATGATACAAATTACTAGTGTGGTGGAAAGGACTCGTCTGGGGCCCTCACCTAACGGCAAAATATAGTGGCCGCCGGTACGTGATTGAAGTGAAAAGCAAAAAAAGTGCCGATGGTGTATTCGCACTAACAGTGTCGCACAGTGTACACGCTATGTTCATACAAAACTGAGCTAGTAAGGCAGAAAAAGTACACAATGAAAAATTCAAGATTCGGCTTTGAAGTTTGTATTGGGAAGCTCGCAATGGGTGACTAGGTACGACAGAGTGTGAACGTAAGCCCAAATGGCAATATTTAGGTTTTTCGTCTTAAATTTGCTCAAAATATTTATCGCTGAAACACTGGTCTTGACAAGCAGAGATATATAAAAGCTCTTTCAACATTACAGATAAAAATGACTGCCGTAAAAATCAGATTCCTTTAAGAAAAGACGTACCACAACACCTCTTTTTTATGTAGAGACAGCGCGTGGTCCGAACTCCATTCTGTCATTCACTCTCACCATCACAACGAATAATGCGTTTTTTGTGTATTTTTGTTGAATATGTCAATATAAAGATAACAAACAAGAGCTAGAGAACTACAAAAACTGCATTTTCGAAAACCTTAGCTCGTGGAATTAACAAAAAAGTGTTAATGTCAATTACAGTGATGCCAATAAGCAAGTTCAAGTCAGTCATGATACATAGCAAGAATGTGAAAACCTTATGCCAATTTGTCCGTTATAGTAATGGACTGAGTTTGAGCACATGATATTGTCACGGATGAAAAAGGATAGACAAGCGTCAAACCGAAAATAAAGGATTTATCCGCAAACTTGCGCCAGAAGTAAAATAAAACAAAAAAAAAGATCGCCGAAAAAGCAGAAGCGAGCATCGAGGTGTCGGCGTGACAGCTGGCTGGAGCGAGAGGGAGTCGGCAAGGCCGTGCTGGGCCCCTTATCTATTACCCTCGGGATCTCAAACATTCGGCCTAGAATGTTCGAGCGTTTTAACATTGGGGGTAAAAGTAAACACAAATCATTACAAGTATGAATAGGGTTCCGCGTTTACGGTTTTTATTTTTTCAAAATTCGGCATACTTTTTTCGGTGTCTATTTTAAAATTTAATTTTCGTTTTTTTTTCGGTGAATATGAAAGTTTACCTTTTTTTTTCGATGAATATGAAAAAAAACACCATCGGACACCGGATCAGATGATCCTTGTAGCTGTGATACTTGTGATCACTCAAAGAATAACGGCACATACCGTATTTGCACGAATATAACGCGAGTTTTTTTCCGAAATTACGTGCTCCAAAACGCACCTCGCGTTATATTCGGAATCGAGTTCAGCCACGAGGCGCGCGAGTCTGGAGAAAGCCAGAGGAGAAAGCCATCCCTTCGGCTCAATGCAAAATATCCGGTGGGAAAAGAAGTGGGGGTGTGGAAGGGAATTTATTAGCTGTTGGGCCACGTGAAGGGACAAATAGAAAACAAAAAAAAAAAAGCATTTTTATCATTTTTGTGTTTGTACAACGCGCGCACGCCGCAGAAACTCAGCACGCGCGCGCGCGCACACACCATGCGGGAATGCGGGCACCGGCCAATGTGAGCCAAGCCCAGCCAGGCCAAGTCAAGTCAACACAAGCCAAGCCAAGACCACTAACCGCGTTTACGTCAAGGTTTACGCAGTCGTGCAACACGAGGCATTTGTTTATGCAGAGGGACCATAACAAGAAGTATGACCGTGTATAGGATTCAGCAGTCTTTTTTTCTGCTGCGCATTGTTTAGTTTCTGCTCCAGAGTGATCCGGTGTTTGTGTGTTTGTGCTTCTGCTTCTGCCTTGTTTGGATTGTGGGCTGCTGAGGAGCTCGCACAGAAGAAAAAGGAACTACCAGACAAGCAGGTGCCGTGCTGCTGCTTACCTGCGTAGTCGCCAAGTGGACTGTAAACGGAAGGACCTGAGCTGTGAGGATCAGTGCAGTCAAAACATAAACTGATACTTCTTCTATTTCCATTGACTTTTCACATCTGCCATGCCCCCGAGTGCAAGAAATTGACGCGGCCTCGGTTCGCATTATAATAGTAATAATATTTTTTTTTCTTTTTGAGGGCATCAAAACCTGCCCTCGCGTTATATTCGTGGTCGCGTTATATTCGTGCAAATACGGTATACATAATTGGTCTTCGCTACAACTTCCGTCAGGATACACCTCAAAATCGCGAAATTTGCGGGCATAACCTTCCGCGCGCTTCTTTCTCCTTCCCATTCTGACGACGTGACCGTCTGAGGTGATGACCGTACAGTGACCAGCGGAATGGCAAAACAAATCCATTTTATTTATGTTCTCAACCACAGGGAAGTTTGAGAGAGGGTGTTAAGAAAGGTATTAACGGCTTTCCTGGATGTCCCCTGAAGTGCATGAAGCGATAAAACATTATACTAGCCCACATCCAAACATTTTTTGGGGGACCGAGACTTTGACACACTAAGCCCGATCACAGAAAGGACACAGATGTCCCGTGAAGGCCAATCCAAGACCTCTTTTGTTGAATATTGAACCTTGGAAGAGGGCAATCTAGAAGACGTCACACAATGTTGAACCCTGCAATGCCCTCTCCCCCCCACCCCTCCCCCCATCCACCTTGACGCGGCCCTAAAAAAACTGACCTTTTCCGGTTAAAACCGAATTTCAGAAAATGGATTCGGCGTACTTTTATCGTTTTTTATCGGTTTTAACCGAAAACTCCAAACCCTAGGTATGAAGTAGCGTTCCCCCTCAGCCATGTACACGGCTATATCAGACCAATGAGACACATAAAAAGATGACAACAAACAGAGGCAAAGCAGATTATGATGCTACGAGAGAAGCACAACCGAGACAATTTTCTATGTGTTGACAGTGTGGATACCTTCGCAGAGGGGATAGTTGTAGAAGCCCTTCTTGCAGCGGTCGCACTTCTCTCCGTCGAAGCTGGGCTTGCAGAAGCAGGTGCCGTCGCTCCCACACGACAGTCCCACGGATCCGTACGAGTCGCAGCCACAGGCTGCAGGGGACACACTGAGGGTCATTCACTCCAGGGCGCAGCAGTTCTCACGAGGTTTGAAGCATCAGAGGACCTTCGTGCCAACTTCTCACTAGTGTGAGCTCAGACGGTGCAGAAATGTTGAAGGACAAAATTGCCTAAACCAAAAATTAGGAAGTCAAGATTAAAATTACATGAGACTGTGCGACACAAGAAAAGGAATGTCTCAAACTTAGCTACTGCGTTTATTTCCTCCAATTCCTATACAGCCACGAATCTAGCACTTGATAACCGACCTCACAGCACCATTCTTTGTTACAGAGTGAAAGATGGGAAACCTTTAGGTTTCCCATCTTTCACCACAGTCCCGGGTAATTTTCAACACAACCAACATCCACCAGCTCACTTGCACACTCACTGTATTTTTGAAAAGAAAGCCACTTTTCTTCATTTACGTAATCAATCACAAATTGCAAAACCGCAAGTTATTACACATTCAATCTTCAGGCTGAGCAATCTGGTCTGTTCACAATGTCCCGCATAATGCTGAATAAAGACCAGTGCTGCAAAACACCGGTTCAACCATCCAGGCAATTTTTCACGTACGGGGCCTGGCACAGATGATCAAGTTTTAGCAAACAAGCAACATTTTCGCAAGCGTCACATTTAAACTGAACTACGTAGCGTTGCCAGTGATGGAAGTGCCATTTGACTTTTTGGAGCAGGCCTTGTAGCAGGCAAAATGTTGTTTTGGAGCAGGTAGTGGCCCTTTTGGAGCAGGGTCCGGCATATGTTGGCATATTACTTGAAATTGAAATAATGCTGCTGTGCTATTAAAGCCCATCCCTGTTGGAACACAGCGTCTGTCGCCTTTTTAAGACAGGATATATCAAATTCAACAAAGTAAACAGAAAAAACCTTTTTTTTTTAAAATAAAGTTTATCTGCTCATCAGATAAAAAAAATACAATTAAATATGTCACACTGAGTTCTGATGGTACAGGATATTTAGTTTTATTACCCTGCACTTCTTTAAAGGTATCTGCAGCAGCATCTAACGACCCTTACTGTTGTGGAATGTTTTAGTTCAGATTATAGTTATCTTTCGGGCAGCAGCTTCAAATATTGCGGTATCTGATATTCGCTTCAAAAATTACGATTCATTTTCGATGTGCTGGCGAAGTCACGATCGGATCATGGCGAGTTAACCCGTTGAGTGCGCTCCTTGGCATGCACCGACGCGGTGCAGAGAAGCGACACCTGCGGAGCAGACACCGCAGTCGCGCAGTGCTTTGTGCTCTGAAAAGGACGGTAAGGCTTTACCAGCACTACATCCAGAGTTTGGTGCAACTCAACTAGACTTCGTTTCAGCTTCAGTGCGAGCGCATCTGAAGCTGCAAGCACGCGCATGAAGCTTGTAACGGTGCCCACACTGCACGAGCCTGTGCGCGACTTAGGAATGCACAGCATTGGGCTCGCGCTAGCTTTGACTTCGCTTGCAGCTAGCGCTCGGGAACAGGGCGGGCCAACATTGAAAACATTCACAAGCTCGGCCTTTTTTCTTTTTTTTTTAAATAGGCAGCTCAGTGGGATGGTTCTTCGCTTAGCCTCTGCGGCTTTGGTCTCAGATGTTGCTGACGTTCCTTTCAATGATGATGATAATGCGCCCTCGCAGTTTCGGTTTGCGTAACAGTTGCGGCGCGGAAAATACCGTGGTACCGACACGCGCTCTGATAAGACTTCAGTTTCTATTTTTTATTGCTACATCTCATCTCGGCGCAGGCATGGCGCAATTCTTCGGTAAAATAACAATTTGGCGCTACATGTAGCAGGATTGCGTCCTTGGCGCAAATTGGCGCAATTGGCGCAGCACTTCCATCACTGCGTTGCAGTAGATTATTTCAGTGGAGCTCAAAGTTGTCTTTCCAGTGTGATATAACACCCTAAAAACAAAATCTTACGGGGGCTGACAAAAGAATATAGTTTTTATGCATCAAAGGGCTAAAACATTCGTGAAAGGTTGGCATAGCCTGTCAAACCCACCTATCCTTGGAATGGCACCTATACGAAAGTTTTCAATTAGTTCTTAGGCACCGCTTTTCACCTTTATGCTTTTCCAGCGAGACAGCTCGAAAGATATCTAAATTGTGCCAAAGATGATCAAATGCTTTACGTAGAGGGTGAAGAAAATCCGGGGTCTTAAGCTCTTGGCTGGAGAAGTTTGTCCGTAATATTTAGAGCGAGAAGACTGAAGACCTCAATTTTCACAAAATTTGAATGTGAATGCAAAGCCGACAAAGAATGATTTGCAAAGTCCATTTCAAGCCCCCCCTACACCCTTATATGTATCGCAGAGAAGCACTCACGGTTGCAGTCTGGGTAGCTGTAGTAGCCCGGGGCACACTGGTCGCATCGCAGGCCCGTGAAGCTGGCCAGGCAGTGGCACTTGCCCGCGTTGTCGCACGAATTGCCCAGGGAGCCCTTGCTGTCGCATTCACAGGCTGCACAAATAAAGCACGGACCACTGCTGGCACTCTCTCCCGTGGCCTTGCTACAGTGTGACCACCGTCGACACGAGCAAGCAAAATCTGTGCACTGCGCTACCCTGCGCTGCTCACAACACTGCGAGGCACCACAGTCTTCTCGGCCCAAACATTGCCTCTGGAACAAACTGTTAAGGCAGCAAGTTGCTGGTAGGAATAGCAAAAAAAAATTGCCAATGACCTTTAGCTTTAAATTACTATAATCGGGGTTCCGTGTTTCCAAAGTTTATTTTTCTAAAATTATGAGGGTGTTTTTCGGAGTTTACTTTTTGCCAAAAAGTCCGAGTTTATCGGAGTTTATTTTTGTTAGATCTCCAATTCTCCAAAATTTGGAGTTTAATTTTATTATGTTTCTTTTATTTTTAAACATAAAAATAAAAATAAATAATATAGGGGTCTATACTTGTGCTAGGTTCAAGAGAATGCACTTGTATCAAATAATATTTCTTTCGATGGATTTGGCATTGGCACCCTAGCTATTGGCAATACTAACCTGCCCCAAGACAAAGCGTGCAAACAATGTTGCCTTAATAAACGTCGATACCTTATAATTATTAAATTCTTCGAGGTAGTCACTGGAAAGCTTGTTTTCATTCCACCGTATTCCATCACCTTACCCGTGGCTGTGCGGGGTGGAGTGATAAAGGGTGTAAATATAGATGCTTCAACTGCCTTTCAGCTTCCCATGAAATCTCTATGGTTCGTAGATTTCACTCCTACAAAAACACAACCCTCCTTCCTCTAAGAAGCCCAGATAATATGGTCCAAACTGGAAACCGGAAGTGACTTTTGTCGTGACTTGGGAGCACAATGATCCATTGTTATGAATGAGCCTTTGGCTGAGATGAACGGTGCAACAACTTTTGTCAATATTCCTAGATTTGAAAGAAAACCGAGATGGCATTTTCTCAGCAGCATTGAACCTGTGCACTGATCAAACTTAATTGTAGGATACTTTTTTTCTTTACATTGGGACACTGAAATTTTGAGTTTATCAAATATAAATCCGAAGTGACGAAAACTTCGCTGGCGGTTGCTTCTCCGAGCTTTTCGGATTTATCTGAAAACACGGAAACCTACCTAAAATGCGTGAAATTCAGTATTTAGGAGAGACTGTTTCAATTGTTTGGGAGAGATTGAACAGTTGTTGCAACAGTGAAGAACCTATATTTTTATCACTTTTGGGGAAATAGAATTTGTGTGTCATGTAACCTGAAGTGGGGAGGGAGCACTGTAGGACTGCAAGGAAGGGCACTGGGAGAGGGAAAGAAGGGAAAACAGGGACACTGAATTGGTGTCACATGGCCAAGGGGGGGGGGGGGGGCAGAAGGAGGGGAAGGGAGAGCACCCTAGGAGAAGGGGGAAGAGATGGAAATAGGAAGGAGGAGGGAGAAGGAGGAGAGGGAAGGGAGGAGAAAAATGGGGAGAGGGAATTTGTGTGACATATGGCCTATATTTCCCTGCGAAATTTAGCATGGAAACTGAATTTTTTTGTAGGTCATGCGGTGTCAGGTCAAGTGACGTTGATTTTCCCCGCTAAATTCAGCGGAGAAGCTCGATTGGTGTTTAGGTAAAGTGACATCCATTTTTTCGGCCCTCATCGAGCCCACGTGCTCGATGGGGGCCGAAGTTGTCGAGTGCATGCAGAAGGTAGAGCTTTTCCGCAGATCCTGTATTTCAACAGGCTACAAGATTGTGCAATAAGATTTGTGCAAAAGATTGCAGATGTGACTAATCTACAGTCGTGCAGAAACTAAATTGCTCTGAGCGAACGAGCGTTTCTTTTCTGAGGAGTGCTTTCCTGCCGGTTTTCCTTCATACTAGCGCTGACATCAGGACTCGTCCATGTGAAACAGACAAGGGGGGAGCCCATCAATGCAAAGAAACCGCTGTTATCATCCGCATCTTCTCAGCATGGTCTGATTGAAAGGGGAGAACACACACTTGATTGGAGCTATTTAGTTTCTGCGTGACTGTACACTCACAGTTTCCACAAATGAATAAAAGCGCCCATAGTGCTCCGTTCAATAAACAAAGCTTTCCTGCGTGTTTTTGTTGGATTTTTGTGTCTGTCCTGGATAGCTTTTTCAACTTACACTATTTAAGAGCTTTCACCATGAAGCACCAAAATAAAAGCAGTCAACAATCATTCCAAAAGAAGAGCAAAGTCGCAGGAGCACAGGAGGTACTCACGAATGCAGTTGGGGAAGTTGTAGAATCCCGGGGCACATTGGTCGCAGCGTGGGCCCCCGTACTGGGGCTTGCACAGGCACTGGCCCGTCTGGTTGCTGCACACCTCCTCCGTAGTGCCCGTCGGGTCGCACGAACACACTGTACGGACACCGGGCATGCACCATTGTCAGGACACGCCATTTTTTTAAAAGTTTACTAGGTTTGTTCAATCTATACCTACGCCTCCCGCACCAGCTGCACTCGATGCACGTTGTCGTGTTCGATTTACGAGTGCAGCGTATCTGAAAGCGTTTGCTGGCCCAGGCGAAAGTCGGCCCACCAGCAGCTGGATAACGAAACTGGTCTTTGCTGTTCCATCCAGTTCCATCATCCAACTGCAGGTGGGCCGATTTTCAACCGGGGAGCTACAGTGCCCCGCGATTTTCTGCACCGCGTTACAGTTTTCCACACCACCGTAGCCCGATGCACGTAAGTCGAACGAATCCACCACACTCCCAGAAATCATTTTGAACTGCGTGGATAGGACCTACCGTATTTATTCGAATATAGGTCGACCTTTTTTTTTTTCGGAAATGTTGTCAAAAATTAAGGGTCGACCTATAATCGTGACCAAAGAATTTCGACCTAATTCGCAACCAAAATTTGAAACCCTACCGAGGGTATGGAGCTATCAATCACCTAGCCGTTGTCGCGGTAGAACCGCGCGGCTTCTTGTTTCAAAAAGCTTTTGATGCACAAAAAGAACCGAACAGCAGCAGCCGACAGTCCGTGACCGCCCGCTACGGCTCTCGCGCACATTCCTCGGGCATCGAGTTTCGCCATCACGCCTGTAGCGTTCCCCTCGCTGGGCAAGGGGGAAGGCGAGGGAGAGGAACGCGATGCGCCATGCACTTTACCCTCCTATGCGCTCCATTCCTCTCTCCCTCGCAAACGCGCAAAAAAAAAAAAAAAAAAAAAAAACCATTGGAGGTATTTTAGTTGTTTTTTTTTTTCGGCGGGTCGCGTGTTGCTCAAGGGGCTCGCAGCGTTGCTCGTGTCTTTGTGTTTGATCTTTCGTCGCTCGCCCGTCTCCACCTTCTTTTGTTTCTTCTTGTTGTCATTTATTTTACAACGGTGTCAGTGAGGTATTGTTGCCAATTTGCGAGGATGTCTACCAAGCTGACGAAGCTTTTTTGACATCGCCCTGTGATTTAGCTGAGAGTGCTGTAAATAAAGGTTTGTTTCTTTTGCCCTAACTTTCCCCTGTTCCTTAAAAAAAAAAAGAAAGGTCGACCTATATTTGAATTATTTTTTTTTATTCTCGGTGGGCTCAATAAATAGGGGTCGACCTATTTTCGAGTAAATACAGTAAGTGACAAACTGACGATTGCTGATTTACGACAATGATTTATCGACGCACCAAGCAATACATCCATTTCCTCAACTTTGTTCGTCGTTACTTCTGCGTTCACTTGATGAAGCATTCAATCGACCGACTTGTACGTCAATCGGGCAACCATTCGATCGACCGAGACAACATAAAGCAAAAATGAGCAGACTCACGTTTGCAGGTGGGGTAGTCGTAGAAGCCCACTTGGCAGTGGAGGCACTGACGGCCGCCGTAGCTGTTCCGGCAGGTGCACTGCCCGCTCTCCGCGTCGCACGAAGCGCCTAGGGACGCCGACGGGTGGCAGTCACAGGCTGCAAAAGGACAACCGCCAAATAAAGAACCCATGGAACACTCGAGTCCCTTTGTTGACTGAAGCTACAGTGCCTGGAATAAGTGTTTGACTGGCGCGTTTAGCGTGCCATTCCACTCATGCATCAAAAGCGGTACCGAACCGGCAACTGACAGCATCGCAGGAACTGGCATACCATCATGCTGCGTTGCTATCCCAGCTGTTAGTCCTAGAAATTTATTATTTATTTATTTATTTAGGAATACTGCAGGCCGATTGCGGCCCAAGCAGGATTGGGGGTTACAAAAGTGGAGTCAAAAAAGTGCAACACCAGGTAATCCGTAAAATGGGAGAGGGGAACAGGGGAAAATTATGCAAAAATTTAAATAAAGCATATGTAATAGCTCACAACAAAGTTGGGAGGGGTGGCGGTAGTGGGGAACAGGAAAATGAAACACAATGCAAAGAGTTACACATCAAACAAATGCTCAATCGACTCCAAAACATTGTCAGATATAAATAGGTGATGAGGTAGGTTGTTCCATTCTGTTATGGTTCTGGGAAAGAAGGAGTATTTAATGCAGGCGGGAAAGGGGACAGGATGCGAGGACCATTGTCGTCATCGCGTCCCATCTCAAGTCCGTTTTTGTTTGCGTGGACCGTCTTGCTGCAGAGTGAACTGCAGCGGAAGAGGATTCTGCTGCCCCACCCTCCGCTCCCACACCACGGCAAAGCCCACAGCCGGCAACAACATGGCACTTCTACCACCACATTACACGAGAATTGGGGAACCACATTCCAGGACGCGGTAAACGCACCAGTCGGAGGCCCGTTCCAGGCCCCATATCAAAACTAACTGAAGTGTTCAGTGATATTAAATCATGAGGGTACAGTCGAGTCCACTTATAACGATACCGTTTACAACAATATATCGGTTATAACGATGAACAACGATAGCACCGTCCACTTTTATATGCTTTCAATGGTAAAATAAACCGCTTATTACGATGCTCCAGGGCTGCGATATCGGATATAGCGATTAATTCTGGTTACAGCATGCGCCGAAAATGCCAGCCACCGCCGGCTCTCCGCGGCATGCTGTGCCCCGCGACACGCATCCCTTCCACCCCTCAGAAAATGAGTCGACTGCGCCGCTTGCTAGGAAGGAAGCAAGAGGAGGAGCAGCTTTCCTTCCGAACTCCCCTCCCAGAGACGCCGCTTTGGCCTTGTCCGCGCACCCGGTCGCACCACACGCGCACTCGGCGCACTGGCGCCACTCGCTCGCTCACTCGACTGTTGTGTGCTCGCTGCTTAGATTATCTTTCTCCGACTTCGTTTTACATTTCACTGCGGACGGGGCGTCGTGGCCGATCTGTCTGCGGCGCATTCTACGCAAGATCGGGTCTGGACGACTTCCTTCATGCAGACGATGTTGTGGAAACGTCCGAGTGCCTCAGTGATGAGGCGATCGTCGCGCGTGTACATGCTGCTGACAACGGTGAGACCGACGACTCCGACGACGTGGTTGAGGAGCCTACCCAGGTACTGTCATCGCAGGAGGCCCAGCGGATAATACAGTCCCTCAGGGACTTTGTTTTCGCGAAGGACCTCCTGCTAAGCTACGTGGAGCACCTAGATGCTCTAGAAAAAGATGTGCGCCAGCTTCGCGTGAAGCAATCAAAGCTGACAGACTATGGCTTTTCTGCAAACAAGTAGTTGCACTTGCACAACCTTACTTGCCTGCAAATAAAATGTTTTGATCTCTCTTTTGTCTTTTTTTCCTCAACCCGCTTATAACAATTATCGGTTATAACGAAGGTATTTTCTTGGCACTTGGATATCGTTATAAGTGAACTCGACTGTATACTAAACGGCGGGAAGTTAGTGAGCCCCGACAGGCACTTGGTGTTTCTAATAAATTAAGCCAGTACTGCCGCTAATCTGGGGTCTTTTTGGTGCATTACGCGGTGGTTATACAGCAAGTTCTCATTAACTCGAAGTCATAAAAACTAGAAAGAAATTCGAGAGTAGAGCAGTTTCGAGATAAGCGAGGTACCGAATTTTCATTACACTGATAGTGCATTGTGCAAATGGAACCCTTCCAACAATCGCGCCAATTGACTTGGCGCTAACACATGCGGCAGGTGCAGGTGCGGTGGGGAGAACAAAACAAAATGCAACAAAATTAATATTAAAAATCAATAAGAAGAGACAGCAAAACTAAGAAACAAAATGCAAAAAAAAATTGAAAGAATAAAAAAAAAAGATTGAAAGGATAAAGCTGGAAGATAACGCTGAGTGCGAGGGAGACAGAAACAGGGGCACCAACCACCAAGCCATATTAGGGAAAGAAAAAGGCTCAAAGTATACCTAATCACTTCTTATGAGTTGCGAATGCCAAAGCATGCAAGCGGCTTGTCCGCTCCCTTGTTTCGTCTGCTGCATACTTTTCATTGCGGGTCAGCACGCGCTCACCTGGGCGCGCTGACCTTGGACGTTCCGTGTTAACGCTACGCTAACGGACACGCAGCGCCGCGTGAGCGGTCGTTGAAACTGACATGCAGTGGCCAATGGGAGCCTCGTCGACGCACGCCAGCCAATGGGATTGAAGCCGAAAATCCATCAGCTTTATTTCACTCTTTTGGGATTGGAGAATTTTGGTGCCGCTGGCTAGCTTTTCGCGTGGTTTCACAGCTGGGAGTTGGCTTCACTTGGAGAAAGGATTTAAGATGCCGTTTGGCGTGGTTTCAAAGCTGATGACGTCAGTTCACTCCATGAGACCCGGTTAATGCTTTCGTATTAAAAGAAAGTGAGACAACAAATGTCCTTGAGGCACATGTTGCTCCACGAAGTGCCTTTGCTGCACCTGCGCACGTTGCCGCACTCATGACACGGACTTTTTTTCTTTTTCTTTGTGCGTTGTTGCACACGTGCGATGATGCACAATTTTTTTCTTTTTTGTGTGTTTGTGGGTTTCCTTCAAGAACCAATGTTTAGGCCACCAGGTCATTATTTGCTGTGCTCTGCCTGTTTTTCTTTTTTTTTTTTTGTAATATTTGTTGTCAGGATTTCGAGATATCCAAGGTGGGTCTGAAACCTTTTTGAGATAAGCAATGAGTAAATGAATTGTGCCTATGTGAGTTCATTTTATGGCTAGGAAATCTTCCAACTTAACCAATATTTCGAGATAGCCGAGTTCGAGCTAACGAGGGATTACCGTACACGAATGCATAACGGTACGATGCTCGGTGCAATCGAACAGGCAGGGCTGGGGAGTGAACCTAGGATTCCTCCACGCACACCAAGGTGCGGCACGTTAACACACTCACTCGGCCACCATTCTCCCGCTGGTGCCATTCATTCTGGTATAGCCAAGAAATAAAGCATGGGCTAGGATGCATGCAGCATAGAAGATGCAAAGATAGCAAAAACTGATAGAGGAATGAGTGACTAGTTAACATGGCTATACATAGATACAAGAGGAGGAAGACCCACAAAAAGGACATGCACGAGGACAGTCCGTGTGTGTCCTCTTTACGTGTCTTCCTCCTCCTGCGTCTCGGGTTTAGTCACATAAAGATGGCAAGCAGCTGTGTCCGAGAAAGTCTCAAGTCTTTTCTCCTTTCTTGGTCAACTGTCATGTTATCACCTTATCCACCTTACTCATTTCGCATTTCCTGAAAACAAGAAAGTGCGATCTGAATGCTCAACGAACGGAGGAAGTTTGCCAGCTTGGTCGCATTTTGATGCAAGCCACAACTTCCTGACGATGACTGCTACAATCTTTGTCACCACGACGCCCAGTTTCAGCCTGGCTACCCACTGTGAATCTAAACACCAATTCATCGTCGCAGCAAGGAACTGTTAAAGTGGTGCTTCGACCTCAAGGTTATTCGCTACATGAGACCTAAGTTGTAAGTCGTTGGCCAATGGCACATCAACATTGTCACGCTGCCCTCTGCGACCCGTAGGCGATTCACGTCTTCCGACTCAACTGAACTAGGTATGCTCGGTAGGACTGTGAAAATCTGCTATTTACGAGACTCTGTATTTTGACCTAGTCTTGTTTAAGCTGTTAATTCAATTTTGTGTTGCATAAAGACGACGAGTCTTTCACAAGAGGGGAGTAATGCCACGTGCAAATAGCCGAGTCAGCAGCGTGATCGACTAACATGCCGCTTACCCCGCCAGCGAATGTCCTTCTTTCTTTTGTTTGCGTAACTGGAATGATGAGACGACTCTAAATTTTTTTTGTTCGAGCTCAGAAACTTCTAGATACCCACGCGCTTACAAAAGTACCTTCGCTTGGCTGCTTGAGGCAGTTGTCCTTTCGACACCATCAAAAGTCTTTGTTAATTTATGTTTCTCAGCACAAGTTCGGCGCATTACACACTGATTTTAAGTTTAATAAAGAAGTATGTTTTTATTCGTGACAATATTTAGATGAATTTTGATAATTCAATCTTCTGATATTTCAAACTAAAGTGTGTGGCTTCCAGGGCCCGTTTGCTCAAGCGCTAACCGCGGCTAAAGTTAACCGCAGTACCTAGGAGAGGGATTTTGAAATCACGTGACTGGCTCGGCAGGAATGCAGGGAAACATGGCGGTGCCCCGGTGAGTGAGCGCCGCTCGCTTTGAAACTAATATGTCGTTGTAGCTGCAATATTGGGCGCGTTAGTCAGCAATGAATGGTGCCAGAGGCTTTCGCTTTGCCTTACCTCATTTAAATCGCAAAGCATGAGCATATGACCTCGCCGCATTTTTTAGATAGTCTTTCGATTCTGGCCATTCTTAAGCCTAAATGAACGCGATAAATGTTAGCATGGCAATGTCTTTGGAAAGTGGATTGCCTTGACTCAATCGGCCGGGTATTAATAGCACACAAAGCAGACAGCGTCCCAATAGACCATATTAGACCTTTCTCTAAATTTCCCAAGCACCGAGGTGCATGCTACAAGTGTAGTTACACGCGTTGCACGTGCTGGCGTCTGAAGTAGTAACTGTTCTAAAGCAAAAAGTCTA